AGGATTACTACAATCTTACTCATGTGCGACTCTACATGGAAAGGAATCAAATCAAGCCTCAAACTGAAGCTTTTGCTGAGCAGACATGCAGCACACAGTGGACGATTCTATTCCTCTTCGCTCCTGAATGGAAATATTGGCCACATTTATGCCATAGTAGACGAGATCTGATGCCTAAGGTGAAGTCGACCTTCGGAATGCTGCGAAATTCTACCGACCCAAAGCTAGCTGTTGATATGAACTGTGAGTGGATGTTAGAATGTCTTCCATGGAGCGTGCGGCGAATGATGCCGTTCCGGCATGCAATATGTGCAACTGTGCCCGACAAATATGCCAAAAAATGGACGATGGCGAATGTGGCGCAGCAGATCAACGGCATATCCAGTCGCTGCTTGTTACTGATGCACTGGTTCGGACTGCAGCGGCATGGGCTGCGTGGTACGCCGGCGATACGATTGAATGATTTCACCAGCTCTTCTTGGATTCAGAACTCGGCCAAGCATGTAATCGCAAAGTCACCCTTATCCGCTGGCTTTGTTGCTGCGCATATCCGAATGGAACACCTTTTCCTTCATTGCGGGCCAAAGCCGAAGATCGGGCCGTATATCTGTGCATCGGGGAAAAGCCTTATGAATTTCACTTCAAATTGCTTTCAGGAGTACTTCAAGCAGCTAAAAGACACGTCGAGATTCAATCTTCCTCTCCTTATCTCCCATGATGCGGGGACATCTTCGACTTTCACGAAGCAAAAGAAAGTCATTATGACTCCTGAGAGGCATGTCGGGTGGCTTGTCGCGGAGCTCAAGCATTCCTTCAGCAGAATCATTCTTTTGCCGGAACTTTTTCAGGATTCTCAAGCAACATTTTGGAATGATGACGTGAGACAGATTACCCTGAATCAAGGCCTGAAGTCTCTGCTGGACGCAGAAATTCTTGTGTCTGCATCGTCACTCTCTGTTCTCGGTGGAGGTAGCTATCAGCATCGTATATGGCGGATCCGAAAACAGCGTGCGAAAACCATTGAAACTGATACGCAAATGTGTGATTATTTCCAAAGATAATTCTATCCCATTATGTGCATGGATTATTTCATAATGTTCATTATTTCCCTTCCTTTCAATCCTAACGAACATTATTTTGGTCTCCGTTAAAAAAGCCGTTTGCTCAATTGTGCCAAATACGTGATCTCCTCGTACAATGAAACACTTGAGTAGAGCGTAGCTTCAGTATCTCCCGTCACTAGCTGCCGATCACCTTCTTCGACCGTTTTGTCTTCTTATTGCACTTATTTCTTCAACTCTCCTCTTTTTAGTTAATCTCTTGGGGGCCGGGGGGGGGGGGGTATTCTGAGAACCTACGTGGTAAGCCTTCTTCTGTAACGGTTCTTCTTCTCCTAAAAGCTCCATACGTACCGTGTAAATACTCAAAGCTTACAACCCCTGAGTCCAGTGTCGACATATCGTGTGCGGCTCTTAATAATAATTATTATTATTAATGTATTTTTAACGTGTTTGACGGTGATTTCTGCGGAGAAGCTTCCTGCTATGTTCTATTCACTATTTCCTTCACCTTCTACTAATGCTCAATTCCATGTGCTTTCCACATCCACCCTTGCAGTGGAAACACCCATGTGCTTTCCTCATCCACCCTTGCAGAGGAAACACCCCTGATACTAATCCAGTTCTTTTGTTAGAATCCGCCGATTAAAACCTCTCAATGTTTGATACAGCTGAGCCAAATTATCGCGTGAATTTCAAGATAGGCGAGCAGATCGTGGAGCACACCAACGATCAGCGACGAGAAAAGACATGGCACTATAGCCGCATCCGTAGCGTGCGGCACACCGTGCCAGCATCATTGCAGCTTAGCCTCGCGTTTGAATGTTAGTGTGGTGGAAAGATCGTGCATGGGTGTCACACGGGCAACTCCTGCAGGAGCCAGGAGGGCTCCGACATCATCGTGCAGGCAGCTTGTAGGGACAAAAGCAAAACATCAAGATTGAAATGAAGTTGGAGAGTGCCTCTTCTGAATCGAGTAAATCAGAACTCATCAGTGCCCACGTCCAATACCATCATGTACCTCAGGGAAGATCTGGGGAAACTGGACGTGGAGGGAGGAACCTTGCTGTCCAGGCCAGAAGACAGTTCTACTTGCCACTAGTTCAGAGCAAGCTCGAGTGCGCACGCACTGCCTGCGTGCACAGTTTCACTGACAACGTGAGAGAGAACGCTAGCAGCTTGTCACTACAAGGGCTATCGTCCCAGATGGTTTCCTAGCTCGAGTTTTGAAAGCCAGCACTATCACTCTGGAAGCTCCGCTGCCTAAATTCTTCGCCCTATGTTTCCGTCATGGAATCCGACCAGCACCGTGGGAAACATCGAAAATGATGTCGATCAACAACAAGCAATCACACTTCAGTACAAAAGAACTAAAGCCCCTGCTCAGCATCGTACTAAAGGTCAAGGAGAAGATTGTCTGCCAATAGAGCGGTTTCACATCTATCACATGACCATACGGGACAGCCATGTTCGTTCCAACTCCACTCAACTCTTGCATCTATGTGTCCCATGATACGGGCCATAGTGGTTCCATTTTTCACTTGCCAAGATAATCAATTTCCACACCAATGCAGTCACGTGACAAAGATGTGAAACCACTCCCTAGCACATTGACGTTCATGTACCTAGAAGAGCAACCGTGCCCTCACCAGCTTGGCTGCCTTCCACCATGAACTTGGGACAGCAGACTAGCTGACTCCCCTGAATACCCAATGGATGTGCAATATCGACTCTCAGGGAATTGTCCGGGTATGGGGGGGGGGGGGGTCTTTTGACAAGGCGTCACACAGTGTTCTCTCGAAGAAGCTCTCAGGCCTTGACATCCATATGGGAAGGTTCTTGACTGGCGTACTGTCTATCTCTACGACCGTCGGATACAATCACTTGTTTTTTCAGGAGCCACTTCAAGCGCCCAACCTGTATTCTCTGGTATGCCCAGGGCAGCATTCATGAGCCCCCACTGTTCTTCATCATATCAAAATCCTTTACGTAATATTGTCCTACGTAAAATTTTATGATGTGCATGTACATGTAGATGATGTGTAGTCGTATGGCGTGATTGCGGCTACAAAGTAGTGCTGATAACACATCCCTCTTCATTCTGCTCAGTGTGTTACCAGCTTACCACCAGCCCTGTTGTGATGCTGTGAACACCTGCAGACCAGGTTTACGGCCCTGGAAGAGTATGGAGCAACTTGGCGAACAACGTTTACCATACTAAGTCTCAGGCATGAATGACTGTCTCTAACACCCGCAACCGGTGGCTCCCAGAGGAGTTCGACGGTGATAACCTTGAAATACCTGCTATCAAAGTCCTCCGCGTCCCAGTTCACTACCAGGGATCTCGCTGTCTGGACAGAGCGCTCCGCTTTATCTACAAGTTCATGCGAGCCCTGCGTCTTATGTTTGCGGTCCTTGCTCCGCCACTCATGCGACTTGCAGCCAACCCACGGACGATAGGGTAACAACAGTCGCACAACCTACCCCTGCAATAGCATCCATAGCTCATACTCAGACTCCTTCATTGAAGGGTGTACCTCTCTGCCCTAGAGCTCTTGATTGTACCGCCTCATGCCAAAACTAGAAGTGCCGGGTGTCGATGTTGGCTGACGTAGCATGTACCCAAGCAGACGCCATCTTGGTCGCTTTGCCAGAGCCGCTGAGAATGATGCACTGTCTCGGCTCAGCGTGAGTGAGCTGATATTCACGTACTTGAGATCACTACTTGAAGTAATACGTCGGCTATTGCAAACACACGAAAGGAATGCCACTCAGTTATAATCATGGAGAGTAAGTTAAAGTCAGGTCGATCAGGAGGTTAAATTAAGCACCAGCTGTTGGCCTGTTGATCATTAGTTTGATTGCCCCCCCCCCCCGCATGTACTCTCCGCCCCCTCGTCCACTGTGCTAGTCTATCTTTCTGTTCTTGTTGCGTCTTGATTCTTCTGTTGCAATCGTTCGTTGGTTGGTTGGTTTATTTTAATTCGCACAATAAATGGGAACTGTAGGCCCAATGATATAAAGGCGAATGGATGAGCCGCATTTCGAAATGAAAGGAAAGGCATTTGTTGAGTCTTCAGAATATCACGAAAGGAAAAGGATCTGCCAGAAGAGTCAAGCGAGTACCCGGGGTGGCAGGGTGGTCAGGGAGAGCGAGGGGGGGGGGGGGGCTAGTCAGCGTAACAATATGGTAAGCAATTCATGCGAAACTTCTTCTGTTTTGCTATGGTTCGAACATCATCCGGAAGCAGGTTCCAGAGTGCGGATCCTGCTACGGAAGCCCTAAAAGCCCCAGAGCGAGTGGAGTGTGGCTGACTTAGCAGGCCACTGATGACGGGTTCTCCTGCCAGCAGGTCTGACGAACAGTCCAGACAACGCGGCCCTAGCCTTCTCGTTGAACTTGAGGCACCTCCCGGTAGAATGCGCTTGCTCACTTCACTTATCCTGCACGAGCCGTGCCGTGTCGGCAGGGGATGCATGGGTGTGTAGGGTGGGTGGCCATCGATCGCTCGGATATCCCTGTTCTGCAGCAGACCCAGGCTGTTAACCTGGCGACCGAGGAGTGTGGGGAAGAAAGCTTTACTGCCATAGGTGATGTCAGGGGTGACAACAGCCTGAACAAAGGGACGCCGTGCAGACTGAGACGGGAAGCGACTGGTTCGCTGACAATCGTCTTGTTTCCCCCTATCTGTACTGTACATGCTACTTTGAGAGTGCACTGCGAGGTATCAGATCTGACTCCCCTCCTGACGACATCCTACCACCTGAACTGCAGTATGCGGATTATCTAGACTTCATTGGAACTGATGAGCAAGAGCTAGAGGACGTTCGTGATCAATGTGCAGAGCCCCTCCCAAGCCATAACCTCACCGTTAATACCTCCAAAACTGAACGAACAAAGATATACCTGGCTGATGATCTGGAGGAGCGTGGTTCCGAAGCATGGAGAAATCGAAGTCGCTGGGATCACGGCTAGGCTCAGCGCAAGATGTCCAAGCCAGAAAGGCCCTAGCAACCCAGGCATTCTGTTCGTTGTACGCACTCTTCGACAAGCATCAATCTACCTCACTACTGCTTAGAGTTGCGCTGTACAATACCTATGTGAAGCCAGTGCTGTTGTACAACTGTGCGACATGGGGTCTCACAAATGCCACCACCGGAGAGATTGACACCTTTCATCGAAGGCATCTGAGAACAATGGCTGGCGTTAAGTTCCCGAACACAATTACCAACAAGCATCTGTACGACATCTGCGGCTCAGCACCAATTTCGCTCGAGATTGACCAACGGCGTTGGGAGTTCCTTGGTCACCTACTGAGAATGCAGAAGAGCTCTCCCCCACAGGGCGTGTTAGAGTTTTCAGCCACCGCGAGCCTGCGCGGTCGACTCAGCCGACCCAGGACAACTCTCCTCTCAGCTCTTTCTCAGGACTGCCTAGCTCGACTCGGCATTCGCCTGGGCACGCTTAGAGGCCTTAATCAGCTGCGGCAGTTGGCAGGGGATAAGTCACGGTGGAATGGCACCCCGCGGCACTCATCTTCCTCTGCCGAGCCGCGTCCTTGACTTATCCCCTGCAGGGTGAACATCGTGCAAGAACAGTCTGCCGTCTTTCTGACATTGCCACTCGAACTTGACAATAGAAGCTGCTTTTCGTATGTGCAGTTACATTGAGCCATGGTGTTTTTGTCTTATGTTTGTGAATCCTTCCCGGAAGCAAATGCATTTTTATGCATTCGTGTAATTGCTCAGCGTTATTTGCAATAATAATAATAATAATCTGTACTGTAGGGACAGACAGTTGTAAAGTCCCTAGGCTGCTTACAGTGCTCAATGTCCAGTGGACAGAGCCAGTAATACAAAATTTGTGATATTACACAGCAATGAATCAAAAAAGTCTCTTTCCGCTGTTACTCCGAGTTTCGTGTGAAAACACTTCATCAGACAGCATATGACCAAGACTAACAATCACTAGAATATATTATACGGAGGGTCTTGAGAGAAGAGGGAGAGGTGATGGAGGTACATTTCAATAGCGCGAGGAAAAGGGGTGACAAAATCAGCGTGATTATGATAAGAGGAAAAAGATGTTGAGAGTATCTTTTTCTGGCTTTTCCTCGCGCTATTGAAATGTACCTCCATCACCTCTGCCCTCTTCTCTCAAGAGTCAAGACCCTCCGTATATATTCTAGTGATTGTTAAAGGGGAAGTATACCCTAAAATCAAATTTTCACCAGTTGTAGTCTTCGGGGTGCTGAGTCGAATGGTCTTGGTCCGAGGAAGCTGCGACGCTCCCTTCCTGCTTGAATCCCAATCGAACTCGCGCACTTCCACCGAAACTGGGTGACTGCGCCCTACTAGATGGGGATTTGTATGCAAAATGTCACTAAAAGCGCCATTTCGTTCTTATAAAAGCACGGATGACCGCGATTGGCCCATATGTTGTAGTCTTTTGGACGCTGAGTCGACTGGTTTTGGTCCGAAAAGGCTGCGATGCAGCGTTCCTCCTTTATTCCCAATCGAACATGGTTGAACAAGCGGTCACGTGCTCCTGGGTGCCCAAATCACCTGGTCACCGCGCCAGCAGGCGACAACTTTCACACCAAGGTTCAACTCGAGTTCAACTCGAGTGACAGGACTGCACCCAAAAAAGGTCAAACCGTCGGGGGTTGCGCAGCCCTAGACCTGCCAACACTGGGCTGCGAAAAGGTGCACAGCGCCAACTTGACCCTCACGACTGGATTTCATTGAGCAGCGCTGTACGTGCAAACACAACACCATCCTCATGAAAGCTCTGAGCACCGCTGAGGGAGTCAGAAAAGAGGAGAGAGAGAGATGGAGAGAGAGAGAGAGAGAGAGAGAGAGAGAGAGAGAGAGAGAGAGAGAGAGAGAGAGAGAGAGAGAGAGAGAGAGAGAGAGAGAGAGAGAGAGAGAGAGAGAGAGAGAGAGAGAGAGAGAGAGAGAGAGAGAGAGAGAGAGAGAGAGAGAGAGAGAGAGAGAGAGAGAGAGAGAGAGAGAGAGAGAGAGAGAGAGAGAGAGAGAGAGTCGTACAGGACACACACAAAGCTGACTCACTGGATCGATTTCATTGAGCAGCACTGTAGTACCAAGAGTAGTGACAGGATTACACTGCACAAAAATGCTCCATATGATCTACATTGCATGAATGTACAGTAGGTTGTCAGGCTACAGTAGTAGGTGCACAGGGGCACTGAAAGGGCCAGATCTCACTGGGTCGTTACAAACTTAACAAAGGATATGATGTGAGCATTGTACTGTAGTATGGACACACAACAGCAGTATCCACCGTGCCCAGACGGGCAGAGGCACGCGGGTGGCTGGATACTTGGAGTTTATTGGAATTGTTACGGGAAGTTTTTAAGATCACAAATATTGCGCAAAAATTGATTTTCTGGAATAGCTGCCAGCGCAAGTCTAAGCTACTAATATATGTGCTACAGCTTGGGAAATGAATAGATGAAAACCAGAGTGTAGTAAAATAACTACTCCATGGTGTAAAAGGAGGTTTGTCGGGACAGGCATGCGACCTTGAATACATGAGCTAAAAAGAATGATTTTTGAAGTACAACAAGCGTATTACCGGCGAAGTTTAACAACTGGGTTTTTCATATTGAAGCGTGACAATTGGGGGAAATGACTATGCAAAATTCTGCAAAGGATACCAGGACCAGCGCAAGTGTACAGATCCCCCTGGCAGAGAGTGGGGAGAGGAGCAAAGAGAACAATAACACCGTTCCGAATGCGCCAGCGTGAAAGCTGGGCAGTTGGAAACGTGCACAATCGTGCAATCCGATTGAGTATGTACAGCGCGCACTAGCAGAGCTGATATGGAATAGCTGATCTATCTCTCTGCTATGCAGAAGTTTAGTATTCTACATGCGCCAGAACAGCCAGTGACGAGAAGAATACGCCTGGCAGAGAGCACGTCTTCTGAGTTCTATGAAGAGTATCCTCTTAGAGTCCTATCTGTACTATATACTTTACTTTAGAATCTGCACAATATACTCTAACGGGGGAATAAAGTTGAAAGAGTACTTTAGGCTTGCTTGCAGGATCTGAACACCGAAATAAATAGATTACTTTTAGAATCTTTTCTAAGCCCGGAAATAGCGGTGGAACTCAGTGACTGACTAGTGGATAACTATGTGTGGAAAGCAAATATAAATCAGCGTTGATATTTGAATAGCATGACCTTCACCTGACGGCAGGCAGTTATGGATAGAGTTATCTGTGTTTCTCTCTCTAATAAGTATGATATATGATCAGACTGTATACTGGTATTGTGGTGGAACGGTAGAGATGCCAAAGTCTCCAGATGGATGTTTCGTTATAGGAAATATTGAGCTTGCAGATTGGGCTGCTTGTACAGGCTTTGGATAGTAGCAGTTATTTGCATATGTGCAGGGGATGGGAAAGTCTGTGATTGTTGCAAAACTTGCCCAGTGCTACTTACAGCATCCAGTCGTCCCACAGAACTTCCTCGGTGACGCTAGACTCATTCTTGGAGCCAATGACGTCCTGTGGTGATGTAACCCGCGCACCACCATGATACGGAACAACAAAGGAAGGACATGGCACGGACTTCATAATGGCTAGGAGAGATGTTTGCTCAGTACCACTGACGTCCTGTAGCTATGACACAACAGAGAAGAAACAAAATAACTGTCTCTAAGAATTGACCAGTGTACGCCATGCAGATGCTCATGTACTCATCATGCTGGTGTTTCCAGTAATAGAACATACATGTAATTATTTTTCTGAAATGTTGCGACTTCGGAGCGGAAGTGCTAGAAGTTGGCTGCTCCCAACGCTAGATCTAACGCTTCCTACCGACTAACACTAGCTTTCCTGACTCATGACTGCCAATTTCCCGAGACTCTACGTATGTTATTTAGCTAGGATTGGGGCTTTGTTAAAGGTTTGCCGAATGGAAGGTTGGACATGCTTGGCATGTGCTCCGGACAGCCGTCACAAATCAGTCTCATGTGTCAGCCAGTCAGAAGGAAGTGCGACCTCCAATGTTCGCAGCATCGAACTTCTAATAAAAACTCTTACAAGAATAATGAGTCTGAAGAAAGGGCTGAGGCTTCCTGCAGCTTTATCTGTGAAAGGAATTCGGGTGGGAATGGGTGTGTCCACCCGAATTCCTTTCAAAGAATAATGAGACAACTTGATAGATTGATAGACGCTCAGCTTGGGTGTAGAGCTCAGCAATTGCACTTTGTCAGGCTTGAATTTTGTGAGACCACATGTTTTAACGCCAATGAAATCTTTAAGTTTAAATTAGGGCTCAAACGATTAGTCCGATTAACCGGTTGCAGACCGGTTACGAAGAATTAACGGTTACGCAGTAACTTTTCAGTCAATTTTTCAAGTAGCAGGTCGTTGCAAAGTATGCACTTTCGCAGGCTGCCTGCACACGTGCGCAATTTCTGGGCTGTCAACTCGGTCATATCTGGTCTCTTCGTGTGAGAGTATGTATGAATGAGCATGCAAGAGAATATACATGTGTGCGTTGTACTGAATGGGGTACATTTTTTGAATAAGTATAGCCAAATATACGGTTAAAAAAGAGTCCGCAGGATTGCCGTGGCTTATAGGTTATAACCGTTAAACCGACCGTTAGCTTAGCAGTTAACCGTTGGGGGTAAAACCGTGACCGTTTGAGCCCTAGTTTAAATGTTCGCTGATGAAAGGGGCCTTACATTAGTATGTCTCTGACGCTACCTGCCACGTACTGTAATGCATACAGCCAAACTCTTTTCAGTATAAGCACATCAATCAGTGCCATTAGTCTTCACGAATGTCACGTACATGTACTTCGAAGTACACCTACAGAGCATGTTCATGGGACTAGTGAGCCACCCAGCAGTGCCCCCTCCCCCGAAAACAAAGCCGGCATCATTTTGGAGGCACACACAGACTGACACACACATACATGCACACACATACACAATCACGGACATACATCTTTCTTTTGGACCATTGGACGCCCATCGCCGGAGGCGATGATAGCGATGCTACAGCAGAAGCCATAGCAGCTTGTGCTGGGACTGCACCATTCAACAGCTTGCAAGGCTGAAGAATTGGCCGCCACTATTCAGCTTGGTCTACACCACACAGCTATGAAGTGGCTTTTTCTGGCCAGTGAATCCCTACTTTTTGGTCTTTTTCATTTTTGTTTTCACACACATCACACCACATACTCCGGGGTGCACTGGCTGTTGGTAACCACCCAGGAGAATGAAAGAAAAGTCAGGAAGAGTCTGAGAAAGAGAAGAAAGACGTGTGTGACCATGATCGTCGGGAATCGAACCCGCAACCTATCGATTGGAAATCGCTGCACATACCACTGCACCATATGGGACATACATACATACATACAGACAGACAGACAGACAGACAGACAGACAGACAGACAGACAGACAGACAGACACACCTGTTCACTTACCCTTGGAGAATTGTCCTGATCGAATGCAGCGGTGTAGAAGGGTTGACCAAGCTCGGAGAAATCGTACAGCTGGAGATCATTGCCAGAACTCATCAGCTCTGTACTAATGAACGAGGAATCAAGTAGTAGCTTGCTATCCCCGAGGTCTGAGACTACACACTGCTGATCCTGTGTAGGTTGTGAGTGTGGTGTGCTGGTAGAGTTGCCATTGTCCTCACTGGCTCCCAACTCATTCTGCTGGCTGAACTGATTGTCTGTTTCGCTGCTGTAATTCCACACCGCCATGGCCTCATCAAATGACATGTGAACAGCACTATCATTGAATGCAACTGAATTGTTGAATAGGCTCTCCGCCTGGTCTTGGCTCAATGCCACCGCCAGTTCTTCCTCCATTGCTGTATGATTCACAAGGGTTTCATTCACCACTAGCTGAGATGACGGTCCAGATGCTTGAAATTCCGCCTTTTGAACACCCGCCTGTTGCTTGGCACACTCTGTCCCAATTCTAGACAGCATTGTGCTTGGCGCAGCTATGTTTGTTCCGGACTCCGCCATTGACGACTCCGGAACAGCCGCATTGTTGATGACATTGTTTATAGGCGTTTCTTCCTGGTGAATGGGTGATGCTGCTGGTTCATCAGTGGGCCTTCCACGATAGTGTTCCAATGCATCCTGCAATGTCATGTCGGGTGGCGTGAGCTGCTGCAAGCTATTTAGATAGTTGCACGTGTGCTGAAGAATATTGCTTCTTGACAACGTCTTCTGCTTCACCTTGGTGCTCGCATTGCTTCTCTTCAACAGTCTACACGCGGGCACAAGGTCTGTTAGTTCGGCATACAGGTCGTTAAGTGATTGTGCCGCGTGCTGCTTGTCACCGCGACACAACCGTTTGCTATTCCCGTGAGTTTCTCCGTCACTCGAACTCACTTCATTGCAACCATCGCCCGAGGAATTCCCCGCTCCACCAGCAGCAAGCTTGGTGATCCCAGTGAGAGGAGGCGCGACATCTGAGGCCGAGTCAGTGCAGCTCGATGTCGACGCCTCATCCGGTTTTGACATTGTTGGCGCGGCCTGTGAACATGTCCTCTCGCGAGGCATCAGAAGACGACAACCGGAGGAGCGGAGAGAAATGTCCGACCGACTTCTGAACTTCCGCACCGGGTTTCCTAGCTTCTCCGCAGAGCCTGAACTTTCTGGCGCAAGGATGGTATGATCTTCTCCGACGGTCCCTTCCTCTTGCCTTTGGGAGGCCGAGTCGGTTCTCTTGCCTACTGTAGGATGCGACAATTTCGTTATCATTACCCGCGGAGAGGGCTTTTCCTGCGAGCGCACCGCAGTTTGACAAGCAAACTTATCAAACTGTCCTGGAGATTTGCACTCATTTGAAATTAGAGGGCCACCAGGAAAGACAGGTCGGTTGGCTATCTGTGAAAGTGAGGAACATACCGGCTGAGCAGGACATTTCTGAAGCAGATCTTTGAGGGAAGTTTGTTTTTGCGAAACACCTCCATGCACGGCCAATCTTTGGCACGAAGGCGAGCAGGAACTCACTGATGGACCTTTGCCCCTATGACCTTTCAGGCCCTCCATGCTGCGTGTGTACGAAAATAGAGACAGCAGAGGAGGGCAATGGCTCTCTTCTCGCACAGAGACCCTGCATTTATATTTCTACGGACTCCAAGAACCTGAAATGGACACGACCTGCACCACCACTGGATGAAACAGCATCGAGGAAGTGAAAGAACGAAAAAGAACTGAAAAGAACTCACTTACTGAAGTCGAGAGTTGAGTGGGATGCAGGTGCGTGATCGTCGTCATCGATCAGCTCGAGATCTGAGATCAGCGATCATGCGCGCGATATCAACCTCGTCCCCCAGCGCAGCGCCGGACGCGACGATCACGATATCGAGCGTCGAGACTGACTTGCAGGTCCACCAGGGAGTAGTGTATTTTATAACTCCCTGGTTCCACTAAGAAGTAAGAGTAAGACCATGAAGACTGGCAAGAGACCATGTTCTCTTGCTTTGCTTGCACTTATCTTTTATTACTCTTTTAAAAATATTAGTACACTGACCGTTACACTGGCCTTCAGTCTGTAGCTACATGTACCTACGACCATGTCATGTTGGAATGGACGATTGACAACAAGTTACAATCATGTTACAAGGACCTAGGACTTAAGGCTTAGGTGGAGGAGGATACACTGTGTTGAGAAACAGTACAGTGAGTCGTGCTAACTACGTTTACGATTCCTGTTGACTCGGAACAGTGCTCCTGACTACAAAGACTACCGGTAAGTATAAGGCTTACACAGTTACAGTATACCACGTCTAGTCGACTGCAGTAGCGACCTACCGGAGAGGTAGAACACGGTCACCAGGTCACACAAGGAGGCGGTAAACCTTGTACTGCCGCTCGCCTAGTACCTTGGCAGGAGAGTGAGTGCGGTGGAGTTTCACCTTTCGATACTATTACTGTAGTATTTTAGTATTTACCCGATAGATATTCATCAGCCAGTTGAGGGAATCGGAAAATGGGAAAAGTCTGAAGAAAAAATGTGGCGGTCACCACCACCATGTACCACTGCCACAGACAGTACCAGGACTGGAACCAGGCACCCTCGCGTATGCGGCGTCATGTCCAGCGACGCTCTACCACTAAGCTATGGTGTAGTCGTCATCCAAGCAGCGACTGTTCGTATTCTCTTCAGATTTCGATGGATATTATTACCAGTACGGCTGTAGTAATTGTATTACTGTACATGGACGGTACCTGTTGACGATGATTGAGTGATGTGCCGATCCTAGCAAAACCTTGATGGCACAGCGAACTACAAGTACTGTAACACCATTTTTAAACGTCACACGAGCAACTGGAGAAACCACAGAACTATCGATGTGTGTCTGGAACTTACTTGAAGCGCAAGACAGCGAGCACAGCATTGGTTGTTCCGTCATAGCCCACGCCCCAGCTTACACCAACACCACAAACAAAGTCGACTGCCCCCCCCCCCCCCCCCCTGTTTACCCAATGCTGTAGACAGCAAGCTTCTTCCTTCGGTTTTGGCCTTTAAAAGGTCGACTTCTAACCAGTACATACCAGTACTAGCAGTAGTACCAAGACTCAAGAGTATAATAACCCCCGGGAGTTATACTCTTCGCACTACTGGTACATGTAGTGTACAGCTCAAAGCTTTGAGTGGGTCTGCAACCGGGCGCCCTACATGGTACGTGTACGAGGGCTCCCGAAACTGGTAACCCTTACACCTGGCCACTTCTTCCGCAAACTCTCAAGGCGTATCTCCAGAGTTGGATACTCTTTTGGGGAGTCTTGTACTGGTGTGGAGCTGGTGGGCGTGTTGTATTGTTCAACTAGGGGAATCAGCGAAAGAGACACCGCCAACTCTCAACTGGGCCTGGTACAGTCATGCAAACCTTCACCCAACACACACTGCTACGTGGACATGGGACTGCCAGACACATCGTTAATTGCAGCATCAAACGGCATCAGAAAACAACACAACAACAATGTACTTGTACAATCGAAGCACGACCGTTGACATTATTGAGGTCGGGGGGGGGGGGGGGGGGGGGTGTCTATGTGAAATTGAATAATAAAATGTATGGAATATAGCGCACATACTACTGTAGAAGCCTGACATAATATTAATATAGCATGACACGAGCTGTGTGAATGGTCAACGACAACAAGAATTTCATGAGAAGTATTTTAAAAGTAGCGTGAAGTAACAGTATAAGCATATTGAGACAGTACCGGCAACACACCGCCGCTGCACGAAAACAAGTAGACAAAAGTGACACTGTTCATGTCGTGAAGTGATCCAGCTTCACTTCAATCGGCTGTTCATGTCGTGAAGTGATCCAGCTTCACTTCAATCGGCCGCCCACGGACATTGGAGCCATTCAGGGAGTCTGCAAGCAAAGCAATGAGAGAGAGAGAACAATTTTACGCATGAGTGTAAACACTAAATACTCAGCCAGACAGAGGGAGGGCAGGGAGGGAAGTTCATCAATTCATCAATCTCAGGCCTCGCAGCCGCAGTACAAAATGGTGGATGGTCAAGTGACTGGGCTTTACAGAATACACAGCTATCTCAAGATTTGGACTTGTCTTTGGAGATATACAGTATGAATTTCAATGGAGGTTGCCTGCCACCACTGCAGCAGGTTAAGTGAGGCCCACAACTGTGCCACAGTCCAGACAGTGGTACAGGTCCACAGATGGAATACTCAGTACAATCATGCATGTTACTCACCAATGGCAGCGTAGCAGTCATCAATGCTTCTGAAGCTAACCGTAGCACGACCCTTCGAGCGGCCATCCGCCTCACGCAAAATGTCAACGTGCATTACGTCACCTGTTTAGAGGCAATTCCCAGACAAACAGAAACAGATCACCGCATGTTTACAAGTATTGACCAACTTGACATTGCTGCACATACCGGTATATACAGACATGTACACGAAAATACTGCAATACAAAAAAGACCTGCCGTTGATAGTTATGCTCAAAGTACTGACCGGTATACCGCAAAAGGGAAAAAACAAACATGAGAGAGAGGAGAGAGGAGAGAGAGAGAGAGAGAGAGAGAGAGAGAGAGAGAGAGAGAGAGAGAGAGAGAGAGAGAGAGAGAGAGAGAGAGAGAGAGAGAGAGAGAGAGATTAGCAAGCGGTATAGACAAGATGTCTGATGGCTGGAGAGGATATCTGAATAAGCACACAATGGCTAAAACAACCTGTGTATGAACTTCCAGAGTAAAAATATAAATACAAAGGACTTGCATCTTTCTGCCACATGCATTCAGTTGTGGCAAGAGTGCAATACCACTGGAGAAGCTTACCAATGACCTTGAACACATCCTCTACATCTTGCCAGTCCATACCCCAGTCGAGCTGCATACACACACACACACACACACACACACACACACATACACACACACACACACACACACACACACACACACACACACACACACACACACACACACACACACACACACACACCAGACACACGCATGCATGCATGCACGCACGCACGCAAGCAGGTTGACAACAGTATCAACGACTTCCCAGATACATTGCCACAGGCACCACGGCCTTGACTGCAGCTGGCTTCAGCAGGAACAGCAGAAAAGATGTGAACAATAAGCATAAAGAAAAGAGCCAAACTGCTGACATGACACCGCACATGGGGTGGCCTGTGGGGGTGAGACAGGCGACTGCACCCATGGTGCAGTTGCTTACATTTCTGACAAAGATTCGAGGGTAGTTGGACCGGCTGCCACCATCTGAAGGTCCCGAACGCGATGAAGAAGGGTAGGGGTAATCTGCTCCTGCATGACCATGATCCCTGTAGACAAAAACAAACAAACAAACAAACACGCATGCACGCACACACACACACACACACACACACACACACACACACACACACACACACACACACACACACACACACACATTCTTACTAACTGACAGATACGCACATAGCTACCTCCCACACTCCATTGCATCCTGCCCACTCTGAGAGGGTCAACAAGTACTGTAGAGGCAGAACATTTCGTCCATCAATAATTTCGTCCAACTCCAAAGAAAAGGACTTCGTCCGGTTGAAAATTCCGTCCATGGATCATAAGAGTGTATAGAAAAGCTGGGCAAATCAACATTAGTCCTACATTTAATTTAGTCCAAAAGCTCCTTGGACGAAAAAGACGAAATTAAATTCCAGACGAATTTTTCTGCTTATACAGTAGCACTGATCTCTTCTTTTGAAATTTCTGAAGTACACCAATTACCGTAAAGTCGCGGATAAAAGCCAGGTTTGCATACAAGCACATCGCGGATAGAAGCCTGAAAATCAAACGGGTCAAATGCATATAAGCCTGTCGCGCGTAGAAGCCTGGCTTCTATGCACGCCCGGATCGGGTAGGTCAAGAGTGCATGCACTATGTACGGTGCATTGTAGAACTACCGCCATACTGCCGGCACTGTGGTAGTGAGTGGTAGATCTACGCGTACATTCCCGCATACTGTGTGTGCATCGTTTTGCCTTTTCCCGCTGCACAAGGCAACTTGACGGAGTATTTCTAGTCTGGTGTCGGACTCCTGTTTCATTTTCAAAGCGTCTTTTCTACCTTGTGGTTCATCTCCTTGAGAGAATGCTTTCCCAAACTAGCGGTAAGCGAAAGGGCTATACGATGGCCTTCAAGCTTGCTGTCGTGAAAACGGCAAAGTCGACATCAACTGCTGTTGCTGCTCGAACTCACAAAGTGGATGAGAGTATGGTTCGTCGCTGGAAGCGTAATGAAGAGCAGTTGCTGGCTGCTGAGCGGATGAAGACTTACCGTGGTGAAGTCCGCTCACGCTTGTCTGGAGGAGGTGGCTCCATCAAGTTCGCCGACTTGGAGGAGGCGCTGTTCGAGTGGATCGTTGCCGAACATCAACAACGCCGTCGTGTCACCAGGAAGTCCATCCGTGCGATGGCGCTGCAAATGAAGGCTGAGCTTGGACTCGCCGAGCCGTTTGAAGCCAGCTCTGGCTGGTGCAAGAATTTCTTCCAGCGTCGTCAACTGGCAACATGGATGAAGACGTACCAGAGCCAGAAAAATCCAGAGGAACTTGTACCAAGGTTGACAGATTTCCTCATATTCCTGAAGAAATACTTTGCCGACCATCCAGCTGTACAACCCGCCAACATCTTTGCCATGGATGAAACTGCAGTCTGGTTTGATGCGACTAGCAACAGGACGGTGAGCCAGGTCGGTGCAAAGACTGTGTTGCTTGCCTCGACTGGCCATGACAAACAGAACGTAACGGTTGCTCTGGCTGCATCAGCGGATGGTTCTAGGCGCCTACCATTCAGCGTCTTCAAGTGTGTGTGTGTCTGCTCTCGCCAGTTCTGACTAGTCTCGCATCTGGAGCGCCATCGGGTGGCATGCTCTTTCTCTCTCTCTGCTGCCCCTCCAGGGCCCACGTGACCCTAGTGGTAGTGGCTCTACAGGACAGGACAGGACAGGTGTGTGTGTGTGTGTGTGTGTGTGTGTGTGTGTGTGTGTGTGTGTGTGTGCGTGTGTATCATGCGACGGCATGTCACAGAAAAGGCATAAAAATAGCCAAAGTGCGGTACAATAGAAGGTTAGCCGATGTGCAAACAAGCCTGGCCAAAATATCAGTGGTGCATATAAGCATGGTTTGCATACAAGCCTGATGCAGAAAGCGGCTTATATGCTTATAAGCCCGGCTTTTATCCGCGACTTCACGGCACACCAAGGAAGAGCAAACAAGAACAATGGGACACACTTTCACACCGAAATTGCACGCAATGACCATTGGGTTGTATTCTCCTTCAACTCACCGGCTAGATGCCCTGTCCGATCCATGATAGTCCCTGGATGAGCCAGAACTCCTGCCCCGATCATCATGTCGAGCTACCATAATATGCATGACAGTGATGACACACGTACACACACGTACACGCACGCACAAGCACACATCCGCAAACAAGCATACATGCGCGTACACACATGTGAAGATAGCTATAAGCCGGTTATAAGAACTTGCTTGCTGCCGTGTTAATCAATAATCACAGTTGTATTCGACTTGAAAAGTAACGGTACGAATGGCCTAGATGAAACTATGTGGCTTCAGTGCTTCTGTGCTGATTTGTTTCCCACCAACTAAGAATCTATGAAGTCATGATGGTCACCAGGCATAAGGTCAGATGCACTACAAACGCCTGCCGGGGCAGACATAGCAAGAACCGAGTCCTGTCCATTCCTCATCAGCACAGGACACAATCTATACTATATCATTGAACCAATGCGAAGTTAACAAAAAAAGCAACAGTAGACACTACGTTACTCGAAACATATCTAGCACCATCCTTAGACTTACATCTGTCGTCGCGGCGTCGGTACGAGTCCTCTCTTCCATCTCTACCATCTCTTCCATCTCTACCGTGCCGGCTATCGTGGTAGGATGGTGCTGGTCTGTTATGAGAGCTCAGCGCTGATAATACGCCAGAATTGCTACCTGAAAGTAGAGAAGAAGAGCATGTGACAAACACAAACACAAACACACACGGCTTTATCGGACACGTATCGGCACATTCCATCATACACTAGAAGTGATTTCCCAGATCTCAGCAGAAACAGCATCTGGGCCTGGCCTCTGCCAAGAGAACGGTTCAACATAAACCAGAGTATTCAACTCACGGAGAACGAGCTCATGGCATATTTTAGTTTACGTCATAGTGACTCGCCTAATTGCTGCATCTCATACTGTTTACACTATACAGGGTCATTCTACCGTACTTTTATGTTGTGCACTGCTACCTATAAATAAATTAGGGCCGAGTCGGGTAGCATTTTTCTTCAGGTATCGGTTTCGGGTCGTTTTCCACGGGTAGCACGGGTACTGGATCGGGTAATGTTTCCACGGTAACACCACAATGCACCCCTTCCCTTACACACTGGGTAGACATGCGGAGTATTACATGAATTTGTACACGTGCACTGTACATGATGTCATCTGCGACTTCGGGTTTTCGGGTACTATTCTGTACCCGTCTACCCGTGCACACCACTAAAATAAATAGTAACAAATATAACCGCAAATTTCCCACTATCAGCTAAGTGATAAAGTGATTTGGCCTAAAACCAACGGCGTGGCGGGCAGTCCTATGATTTATGACGGCGCCAACAATCGATGTGCGATTGCTTTTATATAGTATGGACGTGGAGTTGCATACATGTCACCAGACTATGATAGTAAAGAAGCAAGAAGAAAAGAACAGGGTAGCGTGTGAGATTGACAGCCGCCAAGGACGCAATTGTTACAATTCCAGTGACGCGAAAATAAACAAAATACTGAAACTCACCAGACTGAGTGAGCTGCTGCAGAGCAGCCAAATTTGTCAATGTGCTCAGGAGGTTGAGAGGGTTGGATGAGCTTGACGAGCTACCACTACCACCACCACCACTCCCACCGGTAACAGTGGCAAGAAGGTCTCCCAGCGCTGCAGGCGGAGCTGGCACCGACTCGGCGCCATCCCTATCACGTTCCCTCTGAAAAGAGCGTCCCCGAAGAAGTGAACACGCACACACACACGCGCACACACACACGCGCGCATTGAAGGTGCATGTACGTCAGAAGTGACATCGGGCCTGTACACAATCTACGACACTGCACACAGTCCACAGTCCATGTCTCAGTAGACACAGCAGGCTGCAGGGTGCCCCCGGAAGATCCGCAAGTGATCGAATAATCAACATGCGCAGTCTGTATGACGAGGAACAGTCACTGGCAGCAGGATTGCCCCATACTGACACACAACCTGGCCATTTATGTTACTAGTGCCTTTGATGCACAAGAACACGTACTGGTTAGACTGTCAAGAGAGATAGTAATCGGCCATGCCAGCTGACAACGGCAGACTACTATACATGAGTTTGGTGGCCCAACACCACACAATGAGCGTATCTACAGTCCTGCTAACTGAAATCCAGTCGCGTCACTCAAGTTTGCGCCTTGCACCATTCCATAGCCCAGTCTTCGCAGGTCTAGGGCTGTGCAACGCCCGGCGCGAACCTGAGTGCCGCAACTGGATTTCATTGAGCAGCACTGTAGTAGAGTTAAAACGAACAAGAAAACCCCGGAAGTAAAACGGACACTCCGGGGATGAGCCGCACTTCTCCTGTAGTACAAGCAGGTATCCTGTACTCCGGGGATGAGCCGCACTTCTCCTGTAGTACAAGCAGGTGGTACCCTGACTACTACAGTACACGGAATTCACTCTGAAGCCTTCAATGACAAACAACTGTGACAGACAACAGCACAATCCGTGTGGATGATGTCTCAGTCTTTGATGCAGGGTGCCCGCTGCTAAGGGGGGGGGGCTCTAATATGGGTAAATGTGTGCTACGTACATAGATGTGAATGCGCAGCGCTCGACCGTTGACTAGGTTGCCGTTGAACATATCTGACAGGCGCACGCACAGAAGAGAAGAACACACACACACACACACACACACACACGCACATGCACATTATCACACACACACACACACACACACACACACACACACACACACACACACAGTTTATTCTAACTTCTGCACAAACTGTTGAGCACGTGTGCGTCTTAATTAGAGCATAACTATAAGAACTACCGGTCCTAGACACAGAGCAGCGGAGAAAAACGGCATGACCCAAGTTGAGGTAGACGCTAGACTGGCAAGGAGGGAAATGTGTGTGATACATTTCTTGCCGGGTGAAGTCTCTCTCTCTCTCTCTCTCTCTCTCTCTCTCTCTCTCTCTCTCTCTCTCTCTCTCTCTCTCTCTCTCTCTCTCTCTCTCTCTCTCTCTCTCTTTCTTTCACTTACCGACGCACTTTTCCGCTTCACGGTGTGTGTCAAACTCAACAGTGGCAGTTCCTTTAGATTTGCCATCACCATCTGTGCGAAGGTGTACATGTCGAATGCGCCCTATGCAAGCAGATCGCCATTGTGCAGAGAGGAACACAGAGATACAGCACACAAACCGAAGTGCAAACCATTAGCAGCACACACACACACACACACACACACACACACACACACACACCACACACCCACACACAAACAAATAACTGTGCATGTACGTACTCAGTACCAGAAACTGCTACTCACAGAGTCACGTGATTACGAAGACACACAATATACCCACACCCGCACCACCGCATGCACCCAATCTGTGGCAATCTCATCATCATTGGGAGAGGTTTTCAAGAGGCATGTGCCAACTACAGTGCAACGGTGCCCTTACATCAAAGAGGCGCATGGAAGCACTAGTATCCAGGTACTAGTATCCAGGTACATGTAATGGCATGGACTAGCAATAGCTGCATATCCAGATTTCAAACTTGAGCCAATCAGACATCTGCACCTAAAACAGCAGCGACTGTTACTTACCAGCTGCAGCCAGGAGGTCTTTTAGACGCTGCCAGGAATAGGAATAGTCAATCTGCAAACATAAACAGGGAAAAGCAAATACAATAAGACCAACACATTCAACTACAACCACGTCGCATACCGTAAAGTCGCGGATAAAAGCCGGGCTTATAAGCATATAAGCCGCTTTCTGCACCATGCTTGTATGCAAACCATGCTTATATGCACCACTGATATTTTCGCCAGGCGTGTATGCACATAGAAGCCAGGCTTCTACGCGTGACACGCGTAGATCTACCACTGACTACCGGTATGGCGGCAGTTTTACTATGCACCGTACATAGCGCGTGCACTCTTGACCTACCCGATCCGCGTTTGCATAGAAGCCAGGCTTCTACGCGCGACAGGCTTATATGCATTTGACCAGTTTGATTTTCAGGCTTCTATCCGCGATGTGCTTGTGTGCAAACCCGGCTTTTATCCGCGACTTTACGGTATGTTTGTCGGAATAACGCAGTTGAATGCTACAGTTGCGATAGCAGACACATGTAGCACTATATGTACAATACATGTACAGTCGTCCCTCTCTAATCCGGCACTTGTTTATCCAGCACCCTTGCAAACCAGCACACTTTCTGGCAAAACGGATTTTTTCAGTTCATTTTCTACGCTTTAATCCGGCACTTGAATTCCGCCTCGAGCAGCGATTTTCTGCAACAAATCACTCAAACTGTACATAATTTGATTTTCTAATCCAGCAGTTGCACATCGCATACCGTCAGGGAGCATTGCAACATACACAACACATGTAACATACACTTGGGAATATCCTATGCCAGTGCACAGGATATTCCCAAGTGTATGTTAACCTTTTGCACCCCGCGCCCGAGTATACTCGTTTTGTAGCATGCCCTGCTTTCCCAAGCCCGAGAATACTCGGGTAGAAAATGTACTGTATGTACAGTGAACTCGGATTGCGTATACCTCGCTATTCAAACCTTCGTAACTCTGTTATACTTTCTTCGATTCTCACACCTGACGGCTCGTTGGAAAGCTGAAGGAATAAGCTTTCCAATGGTATGTCGTTTGCTGGAGCGAAAAGTAAAATACCGGAGCGCCGAAGGTGGAAACGCAATTCACGGCCGAATTACAGGGCACAAAATTTCGCACCTTGGATTTTCGAGTGGACATCGGCAGGGAAGGGACTTTCCCTATGACTCACAGGGGCACGGCCCATGCGTGTTGGGTACCAAAATGAGCGCTTGAACTTCAGGAATCTGAGAGAGTTTGAATTTTTGCTCTGCGCTGAGTAAAACTGCAGAAGCAAAGAAATTTGTGACTAGGTGTGGAATATCTCTTCGAGGCCCGATAGAGGAGCTCTCAACGGAGTGTGAAGGCAACTCTATTGCTCCTGCTGAGTGATTATTCCTTTCGTTTGGACAGAGAAGGCTCCCAGCTTTCCAAAGAGCCCAAGATGATCAACTTCCGTTCCTGGTTAGTGAAGTTAGAATTTTTTCAAATCACAGGTCTGCTCTGCAGGGCGACAGAGAGAGAGGCGCAGCAATTGGACTGGGAAATCATGGGTTTCAGGCCGGGGTGGAAAAGGTTAAAGACATGCATTCCACAAAGTACTTGGATTGACACAGAAAATTCCTACGTTTTGACGTACAACACCAACATGTCTGTTAACAGGTGGGCCGGGTTGGAGGGCAGGATTTGATAATCCAGCACCCTTGTTTATCCAGCAGAAAATGCCGTTGCAAAAGGTGCCGGATTAGAGAGGGACTACTGTATTGTGACACCCACCCACACCCACCTACATCCACCCACCCCCAAGCAAAACTATACTGCACACAGTCATCACCAGTACAACATCAAAACATACATTTGAGACGAAAACGACCGAGTTCGGTTGCTGGTGGTCATCACCATGTGGCTCATTCCTGCCCGCCACGCCAGTGGTCAGAAGTGAAGCGAGCTGATTCAGCTGCTGAAGCTGATTGAGAGCACTCAGCTGTGATGCACACACATAGACAGACACGCACACACACACACATAGTACGCAGAGAGACAGACACAGACACACACGCACGGTCATAGATGAGAATACGGAACAACAAGAGTCAAACGCAGAGATATAAATGTGCTGACACATCTCATATCGGAATCCACTTGCAATGACTTGCAGCGGCTAAGCAATGGCTACAGTCAGCGAAGAAGCAAAGCGCAGTAATAGGAGCCAGCTCACCTGGTCACCGCGGTGAGGATTGTCATGATGATGGTGAGAGCGAGAGCTACCGCTGCGACTGCCATGGCTTGGCGCTAGTGGTGACCTACTTCTGCCTCGCTCACCGCCACGACCACCGCCTTCAGCACCGTGGCGCACACGACTCTTCATACCACGCACGTAGTTACTGGAGCGGTCCTGTTTTTCGTTTGTTTTCATTCGGTTATAGGGGTCAGAAAGGCACAGGCAGTAATACAGTGAGAGTGAGAGTGAGAGAGAGAGAGAGAGAGAGAGAGAGAGAGAAAGAGAGAGAGAGAGAGAGAGAGAGAGAGAGAGAGAGAGAGAGAGAGAGAGAGAGAGAGAGAGAGAGAGAGAGAGAGAGAGAGAGAGAGAGAGAGAGAGAGAGAGAGAGAGCGAGCTGGTGAGACCCAACTGTAAGAGACTCTCTCAAAAAGGCTCGGGGCTGGAGTATTACAATTTTGCCACCACCTAGGCAGTGAGTGCCCCTCTGATATTGGCCACATACACACATGACTACACAAAAAGGAGAGGTGAAATGACGGAGCCCCACAATGAGTATCATAGCTTAGTCTTATGTGGCCATGCACCATTCGACATGGACATTGCAGTGGCCTACGGGGTGGGTTCGCCTTTCTTTCAACCATGTTAACCAATAAAAGTAAAAAATTGGTATAGACATAGTTATATGGTGGAGTGCACCTATTCTGATGTCATTAATTTTACATTCCTATAATTGTGTACATCATTTTCTTGAAGAAAGAATCTGCAACAAATGGGAATCCACCGGCTTTTACCACCTCTCAATCTGGCAGAGCCGTCAGAGCTTGGTAGAGGTACTTCACAGGTGTGCAGGTTTTTGAGGAGGAAATGTGACAAAGTCCCATGAACAAGCAAAGACCAGGGCCGAGGTGAACAAGGGCAACGTCAAAAAGAAGAGAACGAGGCAAGAACAAAAGATCAAGCGCCAATGTCTATACCGTAGTATACGCTTTCCCCCACATGAAAAATACTCGAAAAGCAACCCTGGATGCCGAGGATGAAACAAATTGGAGCCAAAAGAGGCGTTGGCTTGCACCAACGTACACAACATGAAAACACAATGGAGCATATCTACAAGCGCACGCTACGTGTTCAGCAGTTCGGCCGACTTCAAGCTGGCACTTTGAGTACCTCCTGCTCAGCGCAAATCAACTCAACAAAGATGCAAAGGATTGGCATAAACAGTACCAACGCACGTGACGGTTTGAATTTTTCGAAGTTATGACACCAGAGGCGAGTTTAGAAGTCGAGCAGAAGTTCAAACAATACGCGCAAAGCTGCTCATCGTGGAACCTACGTTCGTATCCTGTCACCATGGCTACCAGGCGTGTCTAGTGGGAAACAATACCACAATACAAGTCAATACTGCAACGGGAGCGAGCAAAAAGGCCCTGTATTTGTCCGAGTGCACTCGCGTCTAGAAAAAGACAATTGCGGACTGAGCACAGACAACTTCGGCAACGAAGGGCAGTGGCAATGACAGAAACTGGCACACAGTCGATCACTGTTCAGAATTGCGGTGTTCAAACAGTGATGCACAGGCTACAAACCATCTTTCTCTGTACTGCCCCCCCCCCCTCCCCCCTCCCATACACTTGCACCGACCAGCTCCTAGCAGACTACAACTAAGGTTGACTGCTCTAGGTAGATCAATGGTACTGTAAGAGGTTGACTGCTCTAGGTAGATCAATGGTACTGTAAGAGGTTGACTGCTCTAGGTAGATCAATGGTACTGTAAGAGGTTGACTGCTCTAGGTAGATCAATGGTACTGTAAGAGGTTGACTGCTCTAGGTAGATCAATGGTACTGTAAGAAAAGCTTTTTAAAACAAACAGCACCAGCAGCCAATGACAATGCAGTGACACCTTGTTGCGACGTATCGGGGATACAATGCAGATCAAAGAGGTGCAACGCCGCCACCAACACAACGCCATATTCTGACGTCGACGTGTTCAACTCACGGGTGGACATCTTTACTGAGTTCTCATTGGAAGGGAAGCCAGCAGCGCGGGGACACATGGCGGCACAGTACTGATAACTACAACACATAGATCAACGATGAGTGCCTTTACTGCCATTGTCAGCCAGCCCAACTCAAGATTGAACAGACACTAGTACTTCTGCAGCTACTATGCTCGAGGCCAAGAATAAGAGGGGAAGGCTCCCTGGAAGGAAAACGTGCTTGCAATGAAAAAAAAAGCTTGCTGAAGGACTCTACACTCAAACTCCCCTTACCCGGCCTGCGCTGAATCAGACCTAGTGCGCAACTTAAGGGGACCTGTTCATAATCAGAACTTACATCCGGTTGGTGGAACAATCCGGACCAGAGGAGATCGGATAACGGAAGTTTGGGTGTGCAGTGAAGAACGCAGAAGCATGAGAATCAGTTGCACGGCGCAGTGTCGCAACACTTAGGTGCAACAGTCACAACCGGCCATGCTTCGATACCAAGCACCAACGAAACTATTGTCCACCAAAGATGGCGAGGATGACAAAAACATGGAATGGGTGCTGAGCAATGCGCACTACATGAAACGCCAACAGACAGGAAACTATCGGGCTATATCCCCAATTCGAAAATGGAACATGTTCCAGAAACTCCATTCCCATTGCAACACACCGGGTTCGCCGTCTGTCAATCGGTGACATTGACCAGAGGCAGCGACGCACAGAAACCATGGGTGCACTTGAGTTCGCACTGGAGACAGTCCTTGTCTCACACATTGAAAACGGACATGCTATCAGAGCGGTACTTGTGGCTACATCAAGCTCGCGTCTACAAGCAGTAATAAACCCTGAAGCCTGAAGGGATTGCCGCAGCTCGAGCTCGTTGGCAAAACATCTTTAAACCGTCGCAACAGAGCTGCATTTTCATGGTGAAGGTCAATTCAAGGACAACTTTTAGAAGAGGACAACTGACCTCAAACCAACACGTGGCTCCCAGTCAGTGCAGTCAGCCATGACAGTTACATAAACACAATACAGAGACAGCGCATCGTGGAGGAATACTCTACTACTAACACAGCGAGGTACGCGGGCAGATTACGAACAGTCACAAGATGGAATGCATTTCTAAACAGGGACACTCCATTCGCACAGATAGTGGCAGATGCAACAGGAGAAACAGGAATGGGACGGAGAAGTGGATAGACAAAAGACAGACAGAAAGAGGAGAGGTGTGAGGGACTAAGCACGGCAGAGCATCTCTGGTACACGGAAGGAGTCACCAGATCGGGCCAAATACTTACAATTACCAAGTCAATCAACATGTATACACACAAAGTCACCACGAAAATCACAACACCAAAAGCAGCAACACCAGCAGCACCGACAGGCAACAGCAGCACCGACAGCAACACCACCAGAAGCAGCAACACCAGCAGCAAACAGCAGCGACGAAGTTCACGACAACTACAACACCAACTCCTCGCCACATGACTGCCTTATTGGGTCGCCATGGCAACAAAGATTTTTGAAACAACAACCAAAACACACGACAAGATGAGACTGGAGCCAACCTCGTGAGCGGATAGGCGCATCTCATCCCACAGATAACCATCCATGACATCCACAGCGTCCTTGGCCTGCGTCTCTGTTGCCAATTCAACAACACTGTGCACAGAAGTACGGTCGACGACAAGCGGAGACAGCGAGATGGCGTTGGTGGCGGCAACGATGTAGGAGTAGCGGCGACACGCCGGTCAAAATATGTTACACGGACAACAGCAAAACACATTCAAAGGCGCATGGATTAGAGACAATAGATGCGTGATATTAGTACTAAAACCAAGCACAAGATGCTGGCCAAAAGCCTTCCATCCATACCTGGTTCAAAATCTGATGATTCAATTCACAAGCCAATACACATACTCACCAGCACGATTCAGCAGTATTTGATAGTGCTGAAACGGTATCGATTTTTTCTGAGTGGTTTGGCTGATACCATAGCGATCGGCGTACCGGCTTCGCAATCATTGAGCACAAAAATCTGCCCTTTTCACTCTGCCTTGGGTAGAGAAGTTTAAACATGTGAAACCATAGTAAGCTGGTGAGCACTATATAAAGAAGACAATTCCCCGGAGCCCTGCTTCAAAACTGACCCTGCTGTGTGTAAAGCGCTAGTTCAAAGCAGGCCTGACATACATCTCTGTTGGAACCCTTCTGGCCCGTACTAAAAACAATCATAACGCGAGAAAATCCCAACTCAGTATAAATACTGCTGCAATAGTTAGCTGATAGCATCGAAACGACTGCTTGCCAGTGCTCGGTATGTTTCTTCTCGAGTAATTAGCAAGTAATCGATATGCAATTATTGTTTCAGCAGTTTGCTAAACATAGCATCAGGGCATTTGATCAAAACGCTCAAACGTGAAAGGAAAGCAGATGAAATAAACTCGCGCTTACGGTGGATTTAGCAAACACCAACAACTCATCTGTTCCGTGACACTAAATTGGTGAATCAAAACTCCAACGCTCGCTGATATTTCAGTAGCAACAAGCTGCAATGTGACGTTGAAGTCAACCCGTCAGAGGTCCAGGTTAGTGGGTATAAAGAATGCCTCAGTCATAGTGATGCAAAGAATATTCGAACTTCGAAGGATTCGAATATTCTAGAACGTTGACACCAGAAAGAACATTCGAATGCAGGTACTTCGAGTAGTAACATTCGAATATCCGAGAACTCGAAATTCCGTACAGTATGGTTGTATTATTCACCTCCAACCTTGATCTCCGGAGCTATTTCGAGGGTGATAGTGCAGAAATATTTTCTGAGAACTGTGAAGCTTGTTCTTTGGTCAAATCTGCTCTTTCACCAGTGGTTATTGACTATCCACATGATCAACCGAATGCAACATGAATGTTGAGTCTAATCGAGTGAAGTGAATGAGGAATATCAGAAGAATATAGAATATCCCACAAGTATTCTAAATTATTCGATTATTCGTTTCAACACTAGAATATTCGTTCGTTCGCCAAAGAAATATTCGAGAGAGTATTCGTTCGAAGAAAACACCATTCGTTGCATCACTACTCTGTTAACTACACGTATCACATACACGACTATGAAACGTACGGATGCTACACTCGCACATGCTGGCCATGATCCGACTTACGCACGCACGCACACACGCGCGCGCGCACACACACACAAACACACAAATGTTTGCACGCAATGAATAATGAAAATCCATTCAACAGGCAATGAAGAAAAGGGCAGATACCACCCTGACTGGCAACAACCCCAAAATTCGGCAAATCAGCTGTATCAACAAGCCATTAACCTGCGTCTGTTGCAGGAGAATGCATGACAACATTTGTAACATGAACCATATGGTGCGTCAGTCCTCAACATGACCGTACAGAAGCAAGATCTAGAACACCAGGTCGAGCAGAGTTCGCCTAAGTCACACCAACTCAGCACGACCGTGCATCTCACAGCAACATTGCTCGCCGAAAGGACTGGAACCAGGAGTATGCGTGCTTTGACAGGACACCATGCGGTTCAAGGACGGCTGACGCCACAACTCAACAACACCGAAGGGCTCCCAGGCAAAGAGTCAACACTCATTTTCCAAGCACACATAAGAGTACATGTGCGTGCAGGCACAAGGGATGTTGTTGAACAACAAGCGAGAAGGATACAGAAGTGAAACACCAATAGCTAGGAAACAAACTATTGTACAGACAATGCACTGTATGGTGGTGCGTACTTACCCACATCCCTGCACAAACAAAAAACACGGAAAAGAAGAGAGAACATCCAAAGTCAATTTAGGATAAAGGTGCACACGAACACAACAAGCACACGGCAGGTTATTTTTAAAACGAAATTGGAAAATACAGTGGACAGCTGACGACCCCCAAACCGCTGGACAACTACAACTGTTACAGGGCACTAGTAGTGCTGCACGACTCGCCATTGGCATACATGGCCAAGGGTTTTATAGAATGAATCACCGAGTCAACACACAACACACAACACACAACACACATACATGTACATGCAACGGATAATGCAATGGCTGTGACGTGCGTGGCTCACTGACATGTCAGTTTGAGTACTCATGACAAAGTACGCCGGGCCAGGCCCGCGTGCAAATTCTGGTCAGTGGAACATTATTCTCATTGCTATCAGGCTTGGTTTAATTTCTCTGTGCTACTTTGGTGAGCCCATACACGAATAGCACTGTCCACAGATTGCGCACATGCAACAGACAAATTTGCTGGACCACAGAAGTTTGGATGACTGAAGTGAAAAGTTAGAAACGTTGCTAGCACGAGAAAGGGACAACTCATTCCCATGAAGACCACACACATGCTTGTGCATGCGCGCGTGTGCACGCGTGCACACACACATACACACACACACACACACACACACACACACACACACACACACACACACATGGGCATAGGCAGACAAGCAGACAGACAGTAGAGCAGATACATTAACAGAGACATATGAGCGGGCAGATAAAAGGAGGGACAACTAGAGACAGACAGACAGGTAGGTTGATGAATGAACAGAAAGATGACAGACAGGTAGTTGGGCGAATGCACAGAAAGATGATGGACAGGCATGGGACACACTGGTGCAATCCTTGAATCATACAGCAGCAGAATGCCACTCGGCCCTGACCTTGGATTTTCCGTTTTCTTCCAGAAACAGCTCACAGAATATGACGTCAAATCCCTCTACAAACAGCAGGATACAGATCACAGTAATGCTATGAGCCCTTTCGCAGCAAGGAAGAGCACAATCGACTGCAGACATACATGTATTGAAAGCAGTTGGGTGGACACACTCATCCCCAAAGCACTGCACAGGACCGAACCAATTCTTAACGTACAACGTTACGACAATATTGCCATCGTCAGGCACAAATGAAACAATGATGCCACGCAGGCCAGAAAAGAGCAGTTTTACAACAAGATTCTACAGCGAAAAACAGCATGATCTCGCGCCATAAGAATAATAAATGCAATGGGTCCAGTAGCAAAGTAGTTTAAAGGTGTGGGTGAGACAGTCAATGGGCGCTTTCGATTGCACGTTTACACAATTCTGGAACTGTTTTTTTTAAATTCTGGAATGACCAGAATGAGCGTATTCCGGCCTTGTAAACGAACGACTGGAATTCACAACGCATTTTATACATGTCATGTCACAAACGAATTGATGAATCGCAAAAAGAGATCACGTACACCCTCGCGATCGATCGCGCGCACGTGGACCTAGCATCGCGCACACGCCGGCCAGGGAGGCTCTTCGCGCGCTTGAGTCATGACCAAACCGGTAACACACCGACAGTGCAATTCTGGCGCCAGAATTAGAGAAATTCCGCCTTCTCTTCAGAATTGATGGATTCGACGGAATTGGATAAAATCAATTCTAACGACGATAGAGCTGCTTGGCTCGAAATTGTTAACAGATGCGTTGACCTCATGCAATGAATGCTATGCGAACTGTCATTATTATTATTATTATTAACGACGGAATTTGTCACTTTTTGTGTAATCGAACTGTGCATCAACAATAACTAATTCTAGAATTCACCGAAATGCATGTAATCGAAAGCGCCCAATGCCAGAACCAAAACACATCCAGTCATTGCCACCTTCCTAACACCTATATCTTACACCTACGTTTCACACCTTGTGCATGCATACTGCACTTGATAGCCTGCATCTAAGTTGTGCCCCTGCTGAAAAAGCAGCTGGGAAGCAAAGGGGGGGGGTCAGCGGTACGTGTACTTGCCAAGTAATTGACACTTTAGTCCGTGCGAATGCTGCCTTGTACTTGTAGAAACCTGCCATGCTTCCGCTTCATTACCCACCCCCCACCCCTCTACTAGCATAACTGATGATGGTCTGCTTGTATCCACCTGTCACTACTCAGAGTTCAGTGATTCTGGAGAGAATTTTTTTCGGAACTCCCTTATTATAATACAATGATGTACTTTGTATGTACATATGTACACACAACACATCTTACGCTTTTTCACTTCATCTCTCAGGTCGCGCCAGTTGTAGCGAAATGGAATATGGCTCACGAATATCCTGCGACCTCTGACGCTGTCTTCGCCTGAGGTAGGACCACCATAGGGAGAGTGTCGGTCAGATGTTGAGTCACGTAGTGGCACATCGTCCAAGCTCATGTTGATGTCGGAACGGTGGCGGCTTGAAGAACCAACGTGCGACATTACACACTTGGTCTACCAAAAAACGTCCCCGGCTTTCTGAATGAATTTGCTACTATCTAAGAGAAATGGTATCGACTACAAAACCATAATATTATACCAATGCACTACGACTCGTACGAGTATATTTACCGGGGAAATCAAACACCAGAACACAAAATAAAAACGTTTCTTTCTTTCTTCTACATATTTATAATCTACACAGCTCAGCAGCTCATCTCAGCCGTACCGTGTACAATCGATTATGTACATACATGTACGCGAAAATCTCTCATTGGAGTCATTACCATGGTAACTAGTGCAAGTCTCTGCTTTATGACATTATTTTTATGACTTCATTTTGGAGGATTGCCAAGTTCATGAGTCATGCTGCACCATGATGCACGTCATTCTAATCTAGGAACTGGAAGAAGACTTGTTTCAAAACTATTATATCCAGTAAACGTTGTGTAACACAATCACCAGATCACTAGTAGTAGTACTAGTAGTATTTCGCCTAATCTTGATGTCCATGAAATCACATCCCCACAACTCAAATTCTTGGCGATAGTTTAGTTCGTTCTCTTTCATCGAGACTGTCTTAGTACAGTAGTATTCTACCTGGCCGTGTTGGCACCACCATGTTGGAGAGATAACGATGTCGCAAGTTCTCACTGCTTCTGTCCGAGCTGTGGCTAGAACGCGAGCCTTACCACGGAAAGCTGCACTTGTATTGGTAGGTAATCGTCTTGTTGACGAACATCATTGGTGTGCATGTGATTGTACTGACTCGTGCGCACCGTCTTAGCGCGAGGAGGAGATTTGTTGTGCCAGTGCAAATAGTTGCCTACTGAAAGCACTGTCAACTGGTATATCTCGTTTTGTGTGTGTGTGTGTGTGTGTGTGTGTGTGTGTGTGTGTGTGTGTGTGGTGTGTGTGTATGTCTGTCTGCCTGTACGTCTGTGTCTGTGCGTGTATGTGTGTCTGTGTGAATATGTGTGTGTCTGTGCGTGTATGTCTGTGTGTGTGTGTGTGCGTGTGTGGTGTGGTGTGTGTTATATGTGCGTGTCTGTGCGTGTGTGTATATGTTGTGTTGTGTAGACTCAAACTGCCGTTGGAAAAGTCAAAGAACTCATCTCTCAGCGCCCGAACGCTGTACGTATTGATAGCCTGCAGTTGTGTGACATGTTTCTTCGGTAACTGTACATCATAATGTTATGTTTTGCTAGTGAAGGAGGCATTGCAAAGTATGAAGGGTGTCACTAGTCTGCCTCTCGTGTACATTGATGAGTTTTGTTTTCGATAAAGATTATCTTGTATACCGAAAGAGTGCTATCGCGTATCACTGTAGGTTCTTATTCTGGGTTGTAGCTATCATCCAAATTGGTACCCTCATCACTAAAGCTGTGTTCATAACTGGTACGTGTATGCAGTGCGTTTGTGGTTCATGCATGCCCCAAAGCGCATTCAAGCTTTCACAGAAAACAGCTATTCAAGTCGCTTTTAGGTTGTGCTACGTCATTGACTACTAATTATTCGACCCTGCCAGTCCAAGTGACTAATGTATGCCAGTACACGCCTGAAGCGTGCTGAAATATCTTCTGACCTTCCATTTCAGCGCGTTTCCACGTGTATAGCACCCCAAAGAGCCAGCAGTATACACACAAACTTGCAGTTTCATGCTTACTTGCGCCAGTTCTGAATGCATCCTAAGATTCGTTCTTCGTTTGCTTCGTTCTGCAACAGGAGGCACTTCGGGTTGGTGTCCGCAGTCGAGGTTGCTCTGGACTTACATACACTCTAGACTTTACCAATGAAAAGAAGAAGTTTGATGAGACGGTGACACAAGATGGTGAGTTTATGTTGGTTGCACGTGCATGCAATGGGACAGTGGAATCCGTAGCACCCAGTGGGCACAGTGGTATGTGTAGCACTCAGTGGGCAAACCTGCAGGAAAGCATCACTCGCCGCTCAATACTATACTCATACTTGTAATGCTCTCGGACCACAAATGAAGCTCACTGGTCTAGCCGCACATTGCTGATGAGGGGTCAATTCCCCAACTGCATATTGTGCAGGAAGTGCTTTCTTGCACGTTGGTCGGGTGGAAGGTTCAGCTTGCTACCCACGTGCTCCTAGTGGCAATCATGAGTCAGGCAAATGTCAGTCAAGTCGCCCAACCCACAAGCTCCAACACTAGCAATCAACTGCTCATGTATTACTGCCGGAGCCGCTACGTCTCAGCCCTTATTACTTTCTGCCTTTCATACTTGCGTATAAATTTGGATTGTTGCTAGAAGTACCTCACTACTAGCTATTAAAACTAGCTGATACAAATTGACAACGGTGACAGTTGAAATGTCTTAACGCCATTGGCAACTTAAATTCTCTACGTTGCGGTATTGAGCAATGTCGCAAGACAATGGCAACTTGTGGACTGAAGTTTCTAAATCCACCGCCTCAAGGTGAAGGCATCAACTGCTGCAGTAGGCTATGTGTGATGAATCATGATGATCTTTTGATGTTCTTGCAGGTGTAACCATCTTCATTGACATGAAAGCCCAGATGACTCTCCTCGGCACAGAGATGGACTACGTGGAAGACAAGCTGTCCAGTGAGTTCGTCTTCAATAACCCCAATGTGACGGGCACGTGTGGCTGTGGCCAGAGTTTTATGGTCTCATCAGCATCCGAGTAGGGAAGAAGTCTGCCGCATGGCTCACGAAACACGTATTTAATTCTTTGATATATTTCTCCTCGTTGCTGATGTCTTGATGCATGAAGGAAGTGTGTTGAGTCCATTCGCTCGAAGTACAGTTTGTATATTACTACCATCCTACTTCAAATTAGTTTCCTACATGATTGTATACCTATTCGTATTGTGTCCATGAGTATGAGACCAATGCGGTACATGTACATGTAACGGGACACCTTTTTTTACACAACACACATGACCAATATAAGCTCATGTCATGGCATTCGGTCATAAGCCTAAGGCACGAAGGTCCGAAAACCATGCAAATATTTAACTGCACCAAGTGATGGCTCTCGTCTTGAAAATATCTTTTGCTCTTTCCCACCCTACCGCTTCTTCTCCACTTTTACAAGCCGGGGTCTCCATTACTAGCACAATCTCTATCGACCAGGACATAATGTGAATCCAGAATATTTCGTGTGCTTTGTAATTCCGTATATTTCATATGGTTGCTTACCATATGAAAAATAAAGACGAAGAAGAAACCAGTGGATAGTGTCACTGATACTGACGAGGCTTATTCTCTCGGTGTAAAGTGAATATTTTTTGCTTGAGTTATGATTGTTTCTGGAGGTTCAACGTACGAAATTTTTCGCATACGAATATTTCTGGGTTTACAGTATACTAGTACTTATCATCACAGACATCTCCCACACCATTACACTCTTATTTTTTATAACCTGACAGCATCATCGCCGTAGTAACAGTGTGTCTAGGACACTTTGAAGTATTATTAGCAGTCGCTATCATAAGCACTGCGCTTGTCATGGAAACGCTTGGGGATCATTAATACCCACTGTGACGCCACAATAATGGATATCTAGCCAGCGCTGATAAAAATTGAGGGTAATACAGACGAAATAGCCAGTGGGTTTACAGATAAAGTTCAGAGAAGAATGGTGAGAAGTGGCAGCGTTTCACGAGCATGCAAGTTGTATCGATGCAATACGACATGTTGCCAGGCCGAATCGGTCAGTTGGAGGTACGGCCTGAAGTTGAGCACACGGAAACACACGTGTATTCTAATCAATTGTATTTCGAGTGGTACATTCTCGTCGCTTTGCACTGTAGACGCAGAAAATATCCTCTTTGAAAACTTCCAAATCCAAAGAAAGGCAGTCCGTCCAGTCAAAATTTCGAACCATTATCTTATAACACATCATGGTGGCAGCACTCCGCAGATCATAGCATGGCATGCCTCCGTTAGGAATCATACGTACACTCCTCTTCCACTGTGTTCCCTCTCACTGTGAGTAAAAAAAAGACTCTTACCACAAATGACACTCGCACTTGTTCCAGAAGAAATTGCCACTTTAGTGCCGTCCTTGATGCATTGTCCGCTTCAGAAAACTGCTCAGCCTGGATAAAGACACAAAAATTGCTCCTCTCTTTCTCTTGTCTCACAGCGTGTATGTGTATGCATGTGTATGTACGTTTATGTGCGTGCGTGTGTGTGTGTGTGTGTGTGTTTGTGTGCATGCGTGTGCGCATGTGTGCATGTGTGTGTAAAGTAAAATTTGAACGTCCACGTTGCCACCGGCTATACGATTGCGCTGAGAAACACAACCAGCTTAGGAAGTGCTGTGGGTGTGTGTGGGTGTGTAGCACTACATTATAATAGAAGTTTCGATTTAGGTCTGTAACAATATCTGGGATTTTTGATGGGAAGAGGTGATGAACCTATTGCTTGCCTACACTGGCTCCATAACTACTGAGCCCCTCCCCTGTGGCTGTGGGTTTTGTTTTGCAGTATGCGGTGTTGGTAGGGGTCCATAGTCGACTTTACATTGCATTAATCTTACTGTGCATCCAAGGAAGTCTGCAGCTACACCCATCATCAGAAAACATCTCTCCATTGCTCCACTGGCATCGGCAAGAGTCATCTGCAGATTGAAGTCCAGCTGAGTTGTGGAGCCACCTTGACATTTGGGATTCCGGCAGTCTCCTTCTGGAGGCTGAACCTTGCCGTTACACGAGGTGCTAAACACAAAAGGCAGAGGGATGGATAAAAACTTAAAAAGCAAGACAGTACTTGTAGATATGAGCAGTAGCCTAAAGCACCTTTTGCACCTGATGGGGCTGTTCAGCCATGTAGATCCGTTTGCTTTCTAACAGGTGGAGGGTGTACACTAAACCTAATCCACTAAAGCACACTTTCCAGTGGTAACGTTAATTGCAGGCTTAGATGATCATCGTAGCGTACATATACAAGTACCACTATTGAACTGCGATGGGACCATAGCAAATCTGGATGTCTTGGACCTTCACCTCTGCCACCATCTGATAGCCGCCAAGTCCTGAGACGCCATTGATGAACAATTACTTTATAAGCCACTGCACTGCGACGTGGCTTCATTCTTACCAGCGTCTGCAGAGGCAAGCGCTTTGGTCAGCGGTGTCGTCAATATTCACAGCTGTGATTGCTGCCACTAGATGACCAGTTATCCGCTTCTTGTCCATCATGGCTTCTTCAATCTCTTGAATACTGAACACTTCATCTACACGTCGCACAAGTCACATTCGTAGAGAAGCCAACAAACAAACAAAGCAGAATTCTTGGATCCTGCATTACAATTATAGTGCTTGAATACTCCAAGTCAGAGCTTCAATTCACATTTCACGCAATGGCAAAAAATATATAGCTGCTACTCCGAGTGTCATGGCTGAAACCAATCACCGGGCATTTCCCATTGTGTAATTCGAGAAGCCAATGTATGCATTCAGGTTTCTTTTCTGGACAAAACATCCAGAATGACCACACATAAATTCACTACGCAGTTCCACTTCCCTGGTCATGGTTGTCATTCAATGGTTATCAGGGAAACTATGATGGATGAAATGAGAGTACAAGATGCACTGAAGATAGCAGTTCTGTTGGAAGAGTCAAGGCACAGGGGTGATCGTTAGTGAGTGTAGCCAGCAGATTCGCTTTTTAGGTGTGACGGGTAAAGCATGTAAATGAGCTAGGCCAAAAAAGGCAGTGATAAAGTAACCAAGGCAAACCGTTCTTTGTGCTGCATCTCGACGAATACCTATACTTTCCAACACTGGGTTCCCTTTTCCTGGATACAGGTGGCCAAGAACAGGAACTTGATCCAATCAGAGCTTCATCTACGTTACCCTTGTGCAGCAAATGTGTGATGGGGTCAGTAATGATTTTGAGTATCGTGCAATGTATATTTTTGGGTACCTGATATGACAGTTGTATCCATGCTTGTGCCAGATTCCACCTCTTGAGACTGGGCAAATTGGTACAATTCATGGGCATCCACAGTATCTGAAAGGAAATCAGAACACAAACCGCTTGTTCAAGAAGTCATCCCTGCCCCCTGGTATGTTGAAACAGTGTGACGATCTTTGAACGCAGGCAGTCTCTGAAAGCAGGGTGGCCTTATAGAAGTTATACAGTACTCAGTAGTACCTTCAACACATTTGATGCTGGGTCTACTTCGATAGTGGTGGTCCTACACACAAAGTGCTCGCTGAAAACAGGTGGTCTTTGGATCAGGCTTCACCTGCATACCTGTACGATGGTGTGCAAGCTGTCACTACGAGAGCCCAATATCAATTAGGAATGTCTTCTCATTGATGTACGACATTTGGATAAATGCAACTCGCTATAAAATGACTTGCATACAATACATGTATGTACATTGTACCTAACCCCAGCTAGCTGTGCAAGAAGTATACATGACTTTATATATAACCAAAGCTAGCTGGACAAGAACTACTCCGCAAGAACGGCTACCCCGCAAGAAAAGCAGCCTACAATGTGAGTAATAAGTTGCTCACCAGGATTGGATAAAATGATGGTTTTCATCCCCGACGATGCTGTCATCTCATTCCGATACGAATTCATTGCAACTTTGGCGGAAGTTATAAAAAGCACTGCAACACATACATGGATGAACACAAAGCAGACGCGGTAGTAAGTGGCCTCAGCTCCATCAATGTTTACATGCACAGTGGTGCCCTCTAGTGGGACCGATTGGAAAGAAGGGTATTCCTCAAGGACTTCCAAGTGAATGAGAAGGGTGCGTGCCTTGCTTATGGTGCTGCTGCTTCTTACCATTTTCATGTGGTGACCATGAGTCTGCCAACTCAATCAAGTCATCATTCCACCTGAAACATTGTGAGACAGAACAAGAACAGGCACAATGCATTCGCATGGAAAGACTAAAATCCGAAAGGTTCCAGTGAGCACATCAAAGTCAGGGAATAATTTACTTTCAATATTTTGCATAGCAATTTTGCTATGCAAAATCAAACTTGAATAGCAATTCGAAAATGTTGCATAGCAATTTTTTTCAACACTTGACAACATTGGCCTTTTGGAGAGCTGATCAGAGTGCAAGCTCAGACCACAAGTACACTGTAACACCTTAGTTGCAAGCCTATCCTAGTGCCAGGATGCCTAACTAAGCACGTTTGAAGCTTCGTGCATCTACTAAGTTTCAACCCTAAGAGACACACCTGGCATGCGCACTGAACATTATAGGGTACAGTGAAAAATCAACGTCCATCTCAGTTTTCTGCGATACATATCCGAAGTTGCTTCGCACCTCAGAAGAATTGCGCAGCAAAGTGCGATGCGATACAGGTTAAATTATTCCTTGAAAGTACGACTATCTACAAATACCTGGTTGATGTCTGTGCTGTGTGTTCTTACAGTGTGAATTGAAATGATTGTATTGTAGAGTCAAAGAGGGTAACGTCTCGGCAATTCATTTGCTGTCCACCGCGAGTGGTAATTTGTCGAACTGGCTGAACCTGCACAAATCAAAACGGCACAAAACACATACACCTGGGGCTAGAAGTACCTATATGCCTCTTTTTTTTTTTTTTAGAAAATTAGGTGTTTCTCGCATACCTTCATTTGCTGTTGCTTTATGCCTTCTTTTTGATGGCTTCTGTTGCTCATTCGGATTTGGATTGAAATAAAAACGATTCGCCTACCTATATGCCTCTCGGGAGTGTGTAAATCTACTGAACAGGTCCATTTTTTCTTACCCTTAGTTCTCGAAAATGGGCTTTGGGGATCTGAAGATTGTGAAAAATCCTCAGAATTTTCCTTGGATACACCCAAAACAATAATACAATACGTACAATGATTGTATTAAATGACTATAAATATGATATGGGCTAGCTTTGTAGTCGGCTAGGCATGCACTGGACCCTGATCAAGTTTTTCTCTTGCTGGTAGCTTGAGGCCTGACCTTTGAAATGAAGCTAAAAACCTCTGGCTTTTGTAAGCTGGTGTAAAATAAAATAATGACATTGAAAAGCCAATGCATGGTGGTGATAAGTGAAGTCCAACTTCAATCATTGCAAAGCCAATGCATAGTGATAACAAGTGAAGTCCAACCTCAATATTCTATGTTCCACAGCAGATGTCAAGCTATCAAGAAAACAAATACCGAATCTTCCCAGTCAGAAAGCTTTTAAATCCCTTTTAAAAGCACCCTATTCCTCGGCCTCGGCCACTTTAGAATGACACACTGTAGTCGTGTAGAACACGTAATGCACAACCTCACCTTCTTTACAGCAGCTAAGATGTTGACCATCTGCTGGTTGATGCGATCACCGGCCAGAACAATGTCACCCAGGGTGTAATAGTCACTGTTGTTACTGATCGGTACATGCGCAAATGCAGAGAACTCGCCCAGATTCCAACCGCTGTATAGTGCCACTGCACTGTGATTCTCATTCACTGACAGCTGGAAAGCTCTATCACACATGGAAGTCATTCAGGACAGGAAGAATGAAAGCTTTTTTTAAGTTGGAAAATGCACAGCACAAAGTAAAACACTTGGGCTTAGTATGTTCCTATAGAATTGCATGTACCCCAGGTTTACTACAAGTTGTATATGTTGATATCCTAGGAGTTGTGTGGGCTAGGGACATGGCACGGGCAAGTGGAGCTTGAAACGATGTGGGTTTCGCTCTTGGGCTGCCCCTCCAGTTATCCAGGTGTGTCTGTGGGGGATTTAGGCATGTGTCGAGAGCAATCTTCAGCCCATGGCTCCTGGCCATGCTAGGGGAAGATGGTTGTGGCTTTGATCACGACGATCATGTGTTTGTTTTACATGTACTTGGTACTCTTTTTTGAAGTATAGATCATGGATAGTGTAAAACTTTCAAATCCAAGGTACACAATCTGCAGACAAAACTGTTTCGTCCTTTGTGGACTCATCAGCGCAGCAAAGAGAAAATGAGGCCGAACCTGATAGCAATGAAAAGTAAAGTTTCCAAAGCCAGATTTAAACCAGGTTTCATGTAGATTGTTTTTTGTATTGTATTTTATTATTTTACTTGGGCATTCCCAACAGACCCTAAGGTCTTCTTACATGCATAGTTTTGGGTACTGTCGTATAGCATTGTCTCCATAGATACTACAGTGCTGCTCAAAGAAATCCGAACTAGTTAGTGAATGCCACGCCGGATGCTGTGCAGCCCTAGATCTGCTAGCGCTGGGATGCGACCTGGTGCAGGGCGCACACTTGATTCACGCGATCGGATTTCATTGAGCAGCATGCACTGTAGAACACACCGTTCAAAGCTTACCCAGGTGTAGATGGGCGCCATTTGTCCTCATTAGGATTGTTGGACTTGGTTGATACTTGTGGATTCCTCACTTCAACTGCATTCACAGCACAGAGCAATTTCACAGTCAATTGCAAACAGGCAAACCTTGCGGCCCACGGTTGTAAGATAGCAGGAGCAGATCCAAAAATCCTTGTGGAAGGGAAGTGGACACCCCTCAAATATTAGATGCAATGGATGCAAAATATATGTGTGCGTGCGTGTGTGTGTGCGCGCGTGCGCGCGTGTGTGCAGAACTGCGTGTTAGATTATATCCCGGGGACCCAACAAACACAGTCCGGAGTACATGAAGGCTGTTTGAGAGGTCGGGCATCATCTGCCTCAGCTTCTTGTCATCTGATCGGATCCATTCCAAGCTCTGCAGTAACTCACCCACATCATTGAGCTTGAACTGCTTGGACAAGTTATTGATGTACTGCGAACTTCCCCAACAGGTAATATTGATGTAATCCACCGGGGAGTCCCGCAAGGTGAACGTAAAGCAACACCGTTCATTTCCTGGATCTGAACAGCAGTGGCATACACTCACATTTACACACACACACACACACACACAAGCAACACATATGCATGCACACACACATACACACACCACACACTCACACACACACACCACACACACACACACACACACACACACACACACACACACACACACACACACACACACACACGCACACACGCACACACACCCTCACACTCTCACACACACGCACGCACACACGCACTCGTGCTGCGCGCACGCACACACGCACAGAAGTTGGTGGTGTTCAGTGAAGCACACAAAATTCGCTGATGTACATGTAGTACAGTGCTGAAGTTTTTTCAAGAGAAATGCTTAGATTAGAAGTCAAGTACGCTGTCCACTCTTTCCACAAGCTTCTTACTCTTCTTGTCCATGAACGATTTCACGGCTTGCTTAGCGAGGACAATGCCGACCAGAGTCTGTGTTCACAACACCACAACCAATACGTGTTAGGGTCTGATGCTATGCAGAACATCAATTCAATCTTGTTCTACAAGCAGTTGAGCCAGCTCAGCTCAGGTGAATACTGACACCGGAGAACAGCGACGTACGGCATCGTTTACGCCTCCCGAAAGATTGCTGATCGGTGTTCGACCATCCGACGCAGGAAGTCCTGCTGAAGAACTGCTTCCTAGTTTAGCCTGGAGCTCAGTTCCATCTGGCCATGATTGCTGGGTACCGAACATCCTAAATCCCTCACCACTAACAGGTACTACGGAGCACCGTCATCGCAGATAGTGATAATATAAATATACCGGCTAAGAAAATTCATTCGGAAGAATTTAGCTTCTTTCCCTCCTCCTCGCCTGGACTGCTTGCTGGCTGGAGACTGGAGGCTGGGCTCCATCTCTTTATCCCAAACAGCGAAGCCACAATCGCACGCTGAGGCGGACAGTAGGCTAAAGTCGAAGAAAAGGGTGCGGCAAAGTGACGATCGAGCGGCAGAAGGTACGGTAAGTTCACATAATAGTTCAAAGTTCATGAACTTTGCTCTCGATCGTTCTTCATATCCATTACTCAAGCTCAGTCAAAGTAATTATAATAATGTTAGTTTAATACAAGGAGATTATAAAATAATGCAGATTTACAGTACAATTACAAGTACAAGACGCGACAATAATTGTATTGTCATGCAGATCGTTTTTTACTTACAGTAAAACCTGGTTTAAGCGACCACCCCACGGTGCAAGCAAACGCGGTCGTTAAAACCAGGTGGTCTTTTGAACCAGGTCCCACTGTCCGTGCAAGGGAAAACGGTCGTTAGGAGCAGGTGGTCGCTAAACCCAGAGGTCGTTTACTGTAGTTTTAGATAATCATGCAGATCCACTGGCTAGGGTAGATCCACCTAACCCCTACAATTACAAAGACTTTTAAAAGTAGTAGCAAGAGTACATATTAAACACTGGTTTTGTAGTCTTGTTACAGGTGTACCCTCGTTATTACGACATCAGATACAAGACAAACTTCATTAGTAGACAACGATCCAAAAACTCTGAAGCCTGAAACGCGTACATGCAAGTCCGGACAGCAGATAATACTCGTTATCACCTATAACAATTTTGACCCCCCCCCCCCGAGGTTGTCTGCTAATGAGGGTAGACCTGCAATATATGCATGGCACAAAGGGCGGTGGCACCACAGACATTAAAAAAAATTAAATTACCGTAAAGTCGCGGATAAAAGCCGGGTTTGCATACAAGCACATCGCGGATAGAAGCCTGAAAATCAAACGGTTCAAATGCATATAAGCCTGTCGCGCGTAAAAGCCTGGCTTCTATGCAAGCGCGGATCGGGTAGGTCAAGAATGCATGCGCTATGACAATGTACGGTGCATAGTAAAACTGCCGTCATACCGGTATTGTAGTCCGTGGTAGATCTACGTGTGTCGCGCGTAGAAGCGTGCATACAAGCCTGGCAAAAATATCAGTGGTGCATATAAGCATGGTTTGCATTAAAGCCTGATTCAGAAAGCGGCTTTATATTTATTTATTTATTACAGCATCTCATAGCACAGTGAGAACACCGGCCAATACAAAGAGAGAGGGTGTTAGCCAACCACGGCAAGGAAGGGAGAAGGGGAGGAGAAGAAAAAAGAACCGGCATGGATAAGCAGTGATTGCAACAAAATGAGAAACACAAAATCAAAGTCAAGGTGCGACAAGGCTCTTAAAAAGGCGGAGGGAAGAAAGGTCCTTAGCTTCTTGGGGAAGTGCCAGCCACGCAGAGTACGCAGTGAAAAGGGGAGAGTGAAGTAGAAAGGAGGACTTAGGTTTCGGAAGGGAAAGGGAGTTTCTCGTGCTACGGGAAGAGAACCAGTTGAAACAGTGGAGGTGAGGTGGACACAGATTGAGTTTGAGAGAATGGATAAGGGTGACAAGATGTGAATTACGTCTCTTAGACAAAGGGGTAGTGTCAGCAAGGGCATAAAGGGTGGAAGATGGGAGCATGCGGGGTTTTCGGAGGAGTATTTTGAGAACTTTTATATGCTTATAAGCCCGGCTTTTATCCGCGACTTAACGGTAATTAGGATAGCTCGTGGCTCTAGCGCCGGAGTGTTCCAACTACGGAAAGCAGCGAGTGATGCATAACGGTAATCGATAAACCATTAATTTTTTCGGTGGTCGTTTCACCCCTACTAACTATGCATGGCCGGTACTTCGGCGTAGCTGTACTGATGAGGCCTAGACATTGAATCATGTCAAAATAATGAGACTGCTATAGTTTAAAATAGATGAGAGACCACTCAGCTCTCATTATGATAGATCATCATGATTAGAGTTGTGAGTGACTTGATCTGCTTGTTTTACTTGCATCTTGGTGTCTGAAATGCCTTCCGAGTACTTGACAAGCACGTGTTTTCAACTGATAACGAGTATCGAGTGAGTGGCGAGTAATCAGCAGGATTGTTTCAGCAGTCCTGCAATCGGCAGGATTGTTTTTTTGGTGTCTGTATGTTTCGGCTGAAGAGCGCGTGGTTGCGATCAGCTGAGAATGCAATACATTGAAAATATGGCCGAAAGCTCTGTCGCAATATTTAGTTCTGATTGTTTCACTCCTACAATTACTGGTAGGTAGCGTTACTGTTGATACTGGAGACCAGGGAAGTAAAACAAAAACTCCTTCATCCCAGCAAACCAGACAGGCATGAGCAGCAACAATCAGAATAGCAGAGAGCAACACACACACACAAGCATGCATGCGCACATATACAGTGATTACACACAGACACACACAAAACAGTATGTGAACAATAGTAAGTTAATATTCTTTCATATCGCATCTCGGCCGCAGACAACACAGAGGACAATTCACAGATAGAAGTCAAGCAACACTACAGAACACAGCGGCGAATCACTAACACAGAACAAACAAAACCCATGACATAAATTACATGGTAAGACTGTTACAGTGGTTAGCAGCCAGGGTGGAAGTGCCTATCACTTCATGCACATAGTATTAAAGCATACTAAAGGTGAATGGGAAAACGTCGCGAGGTAAAAAGAATGAGCACCAACAGCTGGCAGCTAAGTGAAACAAAGGCCAAGATCCAGTACTAAGCCAAGCATGAAAAAGGAATACTAGAGGCCAGTGTCAGAGCACTGCATGTACATGTATTACGTCACAGCCCATGCACGCTTGTTTTGTTACTAAATGAGAAAATTGACATGCAAGGTGAAAAAATCGCTGTAAAGAGAAACACGCTTGGCTCACAGGCTAGCAATATACCCGCACCAAAGTAAGCGCCACAATATATGTGATATATGAGTATTGGTGTCACAGGCCCAGCTCTGGCACAAGCACAACACATTTCAGAACAAGAAGAAGCAAGAAGCTAGGGGAGGGCATGTGCGAGGATACGACTGTGAGCTCGGAATACCTACAAGTATTGTCCCCTGTTCAGAAAGTCATGCGGCATCTCAACACACGCATGACCACACACAGGCTGAACAGGCTCTCGCCCATGCCAGGGCAGCACTAGGCGACAAGCGATGACGACAGGGGAGAGCTTTCGAGACCGCCATCATTATCATCGTCAGACTCCTCGCTAGACGCATAGCGCTCGCACCACTTCGAGCCACGCCGATGGCGATTACGGCCCTCTGGTCGGGCAGGCTTGGCTGGCTTCGAGCTCACACTGTCGTCGATGTCGGATTTGGAATGCGCGCGAGATGACCGCCTTTTCTTGCTATCCGCCTTCTTCTGGCCAGGAAGCTCCAGAGAGGTTGGTGACTTTCGAGATTCTCTACTAGTATCACCATTCGACCTTCGCCTGGGCGTTGGTGATGTTTCTGCTACTGCTTTCTCCTTGCCAGAGCTTCGTCGCTGACGACCCAAAGGGTTGCTGTCTCGATGCCGTGAACTTCTGCGTGGCGATAGGGCCGAGACGCGTCTTTCTGCGGGCGATATCCGCCGCCTGCGGCTTGACGACTGGGTGGACGACCTCGGGGACCGTGAGCGTTTGGACACGACTGAGGGAGGTAAGATTGGGGAACGGGCCCGAGATGGTGGGGTCGGTGACCTGGAGTTCCTACTATAACTCCTGCCTCTGCGAGGGGCACGTTCAGATACGTGCCCCCGGTCCGCATCAAAGGCAGTCTTGCTGCTGGTGCTGCTGCGACCGCTACTATTGCGGACAGGACTAGAGGAGATCACACGACGCCGGCCCTTGGAATACTTCCTTTCGCTATCTTTGTCCATGGCATGGCTAGGTGGCGACTTTCTCTTTGCTGGCGGCGGTGATATGCTACGGGCGTTCTTGGACGGAGGAGGGTGCTCGGGGGCACCAGCCGAACCAGGCGACATGCACCGCTTGTCTTGGCCTTGGTTAGCTACGACGGCACGGGATCCATTTACACTGCGCACGACCAGGGCGCCACTAACCACTGCTGGCTTCTTCGACAGGGGCTCTCTGTCCGAACTCTCTTCCCAGCGCTTTCGTTTCGTCTGCATGTTGGGTACGTCGACAGTGGATATGATTCGACGCCTGACAACTGTGCTGCCGGACTGCACGGGAGTGTGAGTGCTGCTGCTGCTACCGCTGCTGCTGCTGCTTGGTTTGTTCACAAGGCAAGACTTCCTATACTCAATCAGCACAGGGGGATTGCGAGACTGAGACTTGGAGTCATCACTTGATTTCGCCCGTGTGGACTGACTGCCTGCATCGCTCCCGCTGCGTGACCCAACATCAGAAATGGCAGAGCGAGGACTGGAATCACTGCTGTGCCGTCTGCTAACAGGTGACCGTCTCTCCGTGCTGGTGCTCCTACTCTCCTTATCAAATCTACTGACACGCAGCAGAGGAGTACTGGCGATAGCAGTGTTATCACCACTATCAGCATTTGCAGCACTTTTCCCAATGTCGCTAGTCACACCACTTGCAACTTCACCAAGAGCCTTGTCGCCTTCGCCATCAGTACGCTTTTCAGAAGCCGGCATGCCGGGAGCTTCAAGAGGCGCAGAAATATCAGCCTTCACTCCAGCTACACTGTCGCCCTTGTCATTGTCGTAATTACATTCAGCCTCACCTTCACCATTACCTGCAATGGCGGAATCCTCGCCCTCACTCTTATCGTCCGCACTGGACACAAGTACATTATCGCTGTCCGAGTCATCCAGCGCATACGACACGAGTGCAGAGTCTGACAGTGACGATGTACGCGAGCTGTGCGCGTGTCGGACAGGAGTAGCAGCTATGTCAGCCAGATTGCTGCCCGTACTGGCGCGCCTGCTGTCACTAGGGAGGGCAGCCAGCTCATCAGTTTCACACTCGCCGTTGTCATCGTCCTCGCACTGCTCCTCAGCCGCGCTTATAGAAGAGTAGCGCCGCTCAACGATCGCCTTAGCATCCAGCTGGTGCTGCTGCCGTATGGGACTGACGGGAGTTGGAAGGATGGTGTTTTCACTTGCTGCTTCCTGAGCAGTAGTAGGTAGTGAAGATGGTAATTCGGGCTCTTCTAGTACCAGCTCTGGTATTTCCGGGGACGTACTAACAGGTGACAGGCCAGTGGGATGGCTGACTGGAAAACCAGCAGAGAAGGTTGGCCGCATCACAGCACTAATGCTATGCGGTTTAACATGCATAGCTGAGTTCTTCGATAGCAGTGGCACCAGTGTTGATGAGGATGACGATGGTGGTGGTGGTGAAGGCGTACTGGCCGAACATAGCGCATTCGCCTCTACAGCGGGTTTCTGGTGCGTCGACGCACTGCACTCCTCAGCTGTCGGCGTAGTTGCCTCCACGCTGCCGCCAGTCTCAGCAGATGTGAGTGACTCAAGTTGCTGTTCACGCTCGCCATCTGATGTTACCACCTCGCTGTCACTGGCCGTATCGGGTGAAGTCACGCTAGGCTCCTGCTTGTGCGGAAAAGATGTAGCGCACTGTTCCCGTGACTGTGACGTCTTTTCAGTGCCCGTGGATCCTTCACCTTGGGCGTTGGCAGGACTTGGGGTACTATCAGAAAGCGCACTCACCAACTCCTCCGTCATTGGAGTGCTGGTCTGTTTCGGGGAGGGTGGCGGTGGAGATGTGTGCGAGGATCGATCTTCGTCCAGTGGATGGGACTCATCGGAATGTAGTGTGGAGCATCCGCCATTCATTAGAGACTTGCGGAGAGAGACGGGAGACGTCAGCAGAGAATCAGCGCAGGTGACACCACTGTCCTCGAGGACCTCTGAGCCACTGCTATCTGTGTCGTCAGGGGATGCTGGCGAGAGAAGCTTGTCAATAGACATGCACACCGTGGGTGGCGATGCAGGTGCAGCAGCAGGAGGTGATGGTGACCTGGCTGTTGCTTCATAGGCGTACAATGGCCCTGATCGCGTGACAGCTGGACCTAACCCAGTAGATTCAAAGGATTGCAATGGCGACGGTGACGTCGGAGAGGTCGGCGTCTCGTTCAGAGCAGCATTGTCAACAGGTCTACGTGCACTGGCACTAGAGCGTTGGCGATGATCATGATGATGATGGTGGTAATGCCCGGCACCTTGTCGTGTAGACGTCGCTGAATGGCGATGAGGCCGACGTGGTGGCTTGCCACTCGGTGGCGGAGGCGGCTTATTCATGTCCAGATGGGAGCTTGTCCTAGGCAGTGATGATGATGATGCTCCAGAGTCAGCTAGGGTAGCAATGTAGTCAGCCACCGACTGAGAGCGCTTGACAGACGGCAGCTCTCGCACAGCTTCCTGGCTCAGTTTACGACGAGGAGGGCTGCCAGTTCTCGTCGCACATGCAGCAGAAGGCTCATCGTCAACATGCATGCTATGTTGTGCGGTAGACGACTGTTGTTCAGAAGTCGAACCACCGCGGACACGCTGCAAAACTGATTTTAACAGATCCTCATTCACAGACAGAGATTGGATATCCAGCCTTCCCGACCTCACAGAGTCGACCATGGTTGTCTGCTCACAAGCGTGTGAACCAGCACCTCCGGCAGCCACATTGACACCACTGTTACCGCTTGTTGGGCCTGTGTTGGTGAAGCCCAGTGCTTCTGATGGTGCCGGTGCAGCACCCGGCCTCTCCAGTTGACTCTGACCGTGTACTGCATCAGTAGGTTGCGGCACATTGCTGGAGCCTGGCTGCAACATATTACCTGTTGGCCAAACCGCCGGAGCACTAATCGCATTCTGCTGATACAAGGCATCGGCCGAGGGAGACCACAGCGGAGTGGTAGCGGAAGCCGCAGTAAGACCAGCACCAGGAGCATTACCCATGATTCCAGCAGCACTAGTAGCTGCAGCTAACACCACTTGATTCATTATCGCCGTGTTCAACAGTGAACCAACCAACGGGTTGCCGCCTTGCATGGCCAGCAGGTTAGCAATGGCGGTAGCAGAGCTTGGAGGGGCGAACGGCTGAGCGTTCATGCGAGCACTTCTGCCGTCACTAGACCCGTGGTGCAAATTAGGATTCGGAGGGGCATTCGGCGGCACTCCACTTGTCTTCTGACATGCGGTGGCGGCAGGGAGTGGCGGCAGACTCGAGCTAGAGTAGTCAAGGCCACCCTGGCCTCGATTACGCCGCTTCTCCTCTTCGTGCAGTTGGACCTTGAGTTCGAAATGCTTGCGACGTGCAGTCCTGAAGCATGCCTGTATTTGGTCATTGGACATCTTAGCCAACGTAGAGTGTCCCTCAGGCAAGTAGAACTGCACAAACGGCGTCCAGGGTGGCGGAACAGCGACTTTCTGAGCCAAACACACCTGTTGAATGATCTCAGTGTGTCGGCGATCCTCCTCACTAACGACTGGCTGCTGCTGCTGCTGTGACAGCGGCAATGATGACAATGATGACAACGGTGGTGCATGAGAAGCGGGCGGTGTCTGTGGTGCACGAGAAACGGGGGGTATCTGTGGTGCAGCACTAGTGGGGGTGTGATGCGCCACCTCCGTGGTCTTGTTCGACGGTTTCCACAGTGGCTGATCAGACATGCTGAGCAGTTGATCCGAAGACGATAGCTGAAGTGCCATGGGGGAGGAGGCGGCGGTGGTGGTGGTCGGTGTAGTAGTATCAGTAGTTGCAAGGCCTACAGTGCTGCTGGCTAGGCCAGGAGCAGAACTCACTGCAGCTGGTGCTGCCACTGGACTGACTACGTCTACACTGCCTGTAACTGTACATGTAGTCGGGGACGTGATAATAGTAGAGACAGCGGTGGAAGGTGCAGTTTGATCATGTGAAGAAGAGGTTGTGCAGGGTGACACGCCGGCACCTGCGACTGCAGCTGTAGCTGTTGACGCCGTGGCCGATGCAGACCAAACCACTCGCTTCTTTAGTGGCATCATGGCACGGTCAACACTCGGCACACTGCTCAGTGTACTGGTGCCCGTTTGGCTAGATGCTGCTGCTGCTGTTGGTGTTGCTGCAAGACTACTGCCATCTGCCGGCTTGCTGGGTACACCATTAGATACGCTGGCAGTGACCTGCGGTGAACTCGAGACGGCGACAGCAGATGCAGGCGAGTTGGCACCGTCAGTAACCTGCGTGGTGATCGTGGGTTCGTGCGAGGCAGCACGCGCAGGCTCACTAGGGCTCTTGCCAGCGTTGTCGGCAAGTGCTGGCTGTGCGTCACCGTGGTCAGAGGTCTGGTCTACACTCACAGTATGGTCTTTGCTCTTATCGCCAGCACTGCCATTAGTCCTGCAGTGGGCACACACACACACACACACACACACGCACGCACACACACACACACACGCACGTACAACGAGAAATGAACACAATTAACCAAGAGATAGTACTGGCAAAGTATATACTGTACAGGCAGAATATTTCGTCGGTCAATAATTTCGTCCGAATCGAAAGAAAGGGAGTTCGTCCGGTTGTAAATTTTCGTCCATGGATCATAAGAGTGTATTGAAAAGATGGACAAATCGACATTCGCCCGGCATTTAATTTAGTCCAAATGCTCCCTGGACGAAAAAGACGAAATTAAATTCCAGACGAATATTTCTGCTTATACAGTAGTAGAGAGGCAATGCAACCTTTCCAGTGCTGCAATACTCGTGCAACCTTTCCAGTGCTGCAATACTCGTGCAACCTTTCCAGTGCTGCAATACTCGTGCAACCTTTCCAGTGCTGCAATACTCGTGCAACCTTTCCAGTGCTGCAATACTCGGTCATAAAAGCAGCAAACAGGCCACAGGTTTGCACAGAGTTACGTTTCTGCTCCTGAGCGCCACCGGGTATCTGTGATGGGAGCGGTGGTACTTGCTGATCGTGGCAAGGAGATAGGTTTCATCATCAATCACTAACTTAATGTACGCCCCATAATACTAACTGCAGGCGCTCTAACACACGGAACAATAAACTGTGCTTTCCACAGCAGCCATGCTTGATAGCAGCAGATAATTTGAAGAAAAAACTTCAAAAAAGTCAATACGGCAATAGATGCTTACTGAGCGGATGCATCAGCTGTGTTCGCAGACAAGTCCTTGGATGGTGATGCTGGGACATCAGCAGGCTGCACAGACAAACCAGAGCATATGGGAACATCAGCACTTTCTGCCACACAAAGGCATTATGATAAAATAGCAGAGGCACCGTACGTGGATAGGAGACAAACCAATACACTATGGTAAGAGAAGCAATAACACCAGACAATTGCATTACAGATTGTGGACGATGGCTGGTAACTCGTACCTTGGTTTCATCGACAGCAGTTTTAGTTGCAGATTGTGCCAAGTCTGCCTCCAGCGAAGCAAGTCTTGCTTTCAGCTCTCTGTGCTTCAAGCCAGCAGCCTCCAGTTGGGTTTGAATCTGCGAGGGACTGCTGAGACGCAACTGGAAGAGGCACACAAACACACCAAGAAACAATATCAGAGGCGGCCGCGAGCAAACGAAACCGGGAAGCCGCAAGACTGCCGAGGTGCAGAGTGCAAGTACAACTCAAGGAGACCAAGTATTTGCAGCAGTAAGACAAACCTCATCTAGACGCTTCTGGAGCAGAGTGTATCCCTTGGACTTCAATCCGGACACCTAAAGTCACAAAGCATAACAAGATAAAGCAGTCACAAAGCATAACAAATTCAAAAGTCTCTCCCCCTCCCAACAGCAAATCATGAAATCACAAGCAAAAAACAACAACAAAAAGAGCAGGAAGTGGGTACTGCTGGCACACATTAACAATTAAAAGTCCATGCAAGCAACAGTATGGACCTAGTTGAGCACAACAACATGTGACTGAACGCTGTATTTATGACACACACACACACACACACACACACACGCACACACACGCACGCACGCATGCACACACATACACACACAAACGTCCGGCTCAGAGCACATGATCAAGCCTGACAATGTACAGCCAGCGTCAACAACAAGGCAACGGCAACAGCATGCAACGCCGTGCAATACCACAATTCCCACAGTCTTACCTGCTCTTCTAGCTCTGCCGTTCTCAAGACTAAGCGCGTTTGATGGTCCTGGAGCAAGTGGAAACCCAACATCGCACGGCAGGCCAATTATTACTACGCATGCAAAGAGCCAAAATAGTGAATACATGACTGTACTCTCATAATAGTGAATACATGTACTCGCATAATAGTGAATACTCGCAGGGGATGATCACAATACTGGGCGCAGCTCAAAGAGTTCTACCAAATGAATGGGCTTCCCAGAAGAGTCGGCTCGCACAACAGACACACTGGGGGCCCGGGGTGTGGTGGGGGTGCTGCTGGTTGCATGTGGCATGTGCTAGCGTGAACCAGTGAAATGCACACCAAAAAAGGTGTATGATAAAATCTAGCTAGGACTGGTGTTGACCGGGAGCTGGGCCAGCAACAGCGCCTCCTGGTGTCTATCTGGTTTATGTGAACAAACCCAAATGGCCAAATATTCATGATTGCAATAAGGTAGTACCCCTATGCCGGTGAGGTGGGACTGAAATTTGTCAGGCTAGCTCATACAGATACACGCATAGCCACTGTCAAGAGTCCATAAACAAGAGTACGCAACTGTAATCTCTTTTCTACGGGTCAGATGCGCTACGTGCTGCCTTCATAGCATCCTTCAGCTCCAGTCCGCGCACTGCGGAAAATCAAACACCGCACTGTCCCTCTGGTTTGAAATGAACTTTCGTATGGAACTGGAGTTCACGCGCCAAAATTTAGAGATTGCGCAGGTACTGGAACGAATCGAGCAAAACTGGATGGGTTTGTATGAGAAATTGTGAGTTTGAATGCATGCTTTCAGAGCGTGATGAAGGCAAGTTACGTAATGAAGGCAGCGCGCCGCGCACTGATCCATAACCACAGTTGCATACTCTTGTTTATGCACTCTTGCCATTAAAATAGTCATGAGTTCGAGGGAGTTCAGATAAAATTTGTTACATCGTTAAAATCAAGCTCTCTTTAATACTAATAATGGTGTTACAATATAGGAAAATAGGAGAGGGTGGTGGCAGATATTGATCATGCAGGAGAAAGGCTACTTACTCGGTGCTGCTGCAGAAGGCTCTGAGCCTCAAGTAGAGTATTCTGGTGGCCACACTGGAAATAGTGCATATACTGACGTCGCACCTCAGCTGCACATGCACACACACACATGCACACACACCAACAAGAAGAAATAAGAGAGCAGAGTGAATGTCTAGCCACTCACAAGTCCAAATATTGTTCCCATGGACTGGGAAAGGACGAGAAGAGCTGTGCATTACCAGAACGGACTGCGAACATAAATACACCCCTGCCCAAAGACAAGACTCAGCTCGGCCTGCACTAGCTAGAGTCCATCTGTGACAAAAGAAAAGAAAATCCTTGCGTATACCAAAGAGGAACTGGCAGGGCAAAGGAATACCGTATTATCTCCATTATAAGCCCAGCGCATATATTTTTTCAACCAGTCCAGACCCCGGGCTTATAGTAGAGACTGGGTTTCTACTAGAAACTGGGCTTATAATTTTTCAACCACCTGGTGCATGCACATTGCTTATTATTTTTCATTATAATCAGTAGCACAAGGTTTCCCAGCAGGTACCGGGACTGCAGTTGTGTGCTTCCTGGTACACTGAGTGAGTCTGAACTTTAGATCTCGGGGATCACAGACTTTTACCACAGCAATCCGCATGTGTTTATGTGATGTGTGACGTCAAACATGCATGGACAAGATCCATACAGTTCGCTATTATAAGCCCTGCGCTTGTATATCTTCGAAGCCCTATTGGAGTGCGCTTATAATAGAGACTGGGCTTCTACAAGAGACTGCACTTGTAATAGAGATAATACCAAGAGTACATAACCCCAAGAGTGTGCAACTGCCTGCACAACCTCTATGCTGTGCTGCGACGGCAGAACTTCACATCACGTGACACGGTTCAAAAGGATATGCTGGCAAACAGTGCAAAGTGATCACAAGAGAGTTGTACCCAAAGCTGGGTTGCGTACAACCCTGTATCTATCATGCACAGAGTGCAAATAATGTGTACGGGTTCATCACGTGATGTGAAGTTCTGCCGTCGCAGATCCCATAGCTGGAGTTGCACACTCTTGGGGGTTATATACTCTTGATAATACGGTAAGCATAATGTCAGCGGCAAAATGATACAGTAAAACCTGTCAAGGCGACCACCTGTCCTAGAAGACCACTGAAACCAGGACTGAGGCCAAGTGATGCTTTTTCCAGTAACATGACCCTGGACAAGGAGACTACCTGGTAACAGAGATCACATTTTGAAGGTCCCTTGAGCGGTCGTCTTAGACAGGTTTCACTGTATATTTCTCGTCAACAAGAGAAGAAGAAAATGAAGAAAGAAGCATACCGAGCATGTCGTCGAGAGCGCTGACAACCGACTCAGACACAACGGCTTCCGGCCGAATGCCATTGATGGCAGGCGTGCGGCCATGAACAAGCAGAGCGTCGCCCTTCTGTGACTGAAACACACACACGCAAACCCAGAGCAATGCCGTACACATACATGTACACGGACATGGACACACACACACACACACACACACACACACACACACACACATATACATGCACGCACATATGGGAACTCTTACAGTGCCTTGTATATTTTAACACAAATCAAGGCTTTGGCAAGTCAAAATATAACGAAATGAGTTGCATGACACAAGTTGTGGCAGAGGAATCCAAACTATACTTTGTTGGCAAATTCGGGCTGCTGAGAAACTGACACCTTTGACCCTCTTGAACACTATAACGAGCAGATTTTGATCAACTACTTCAAGTATAAAACAATAATTCAATCTATAACACATTACTTCGAAGTAGTGAAATGCACTGAAGCGTTTCGGCAACCGAACTACAAGTAAATACATGAAGGAGTTCAAGCAAGTCGAAAATAAAGAATTGATTTGCAAGGGGTAGAAGTAGGAGCAGACTTTAAAATATAATAATAACTATTACACACACAACAGAGGCGAAAGGCTGTGTTAGCTGTAACTTAAAGTTTCACGCATCGAGCGATCATCAGACAGCAGCATTCACTATCGAATTCTCTACGAGCAGGCCTAGATATTTGATGCTAGTGTGGAAGTTAGTGCATATGTGCGAAGTGAAGACGTGGCAACAAATGGATAGCCCAAAGATGGACAATAAAAACTGTCATAGTCACATGAGTACTCACGCGAAGAACCCGAATCGGGGATGTAGGTGATGGGCCACCCTGCCTTCGTGTCTGGAACTTGTGCTGCTCCACATGGCGGTGCAGCTGGTCGGTACGGCGCTTCTGCTGCTGCCGCTCGCGCTTCTTGCGCTGGCGAACGCTGTCGATGGGGTGGCGGCGACTGCGTGCTCTGGTGGTGCCAGTGCCTGCACCGGTGGTTCCTACTGCAGCAGCGGTGCCGCCGGGCGATGGCTGCTGCGTCCACTGGGCGACGGGCTGCACGTGCTGCGCGGTCTCTGCCGTGGTGTTGCTATCCGCCGGGCGGGGTGACGATGCCGCGCTGCTGGACTCGCTCGTTGTCAGGCGTATCACCTGCAAGACCAGCCAGCCCGCACAGTAGTGACAACAAACAGTGCATGTTAGTACAGTGCGTGTTAGTACAGTACAGTGCTAGTACAGTGCATGTTAGTACAGTACAGTGCTAGTTCAGTGCATGTTAGTACAGTACAGTGCTAGTACAGTGCATGTTAGTACAGTGAGTGTTAGTACAGTGCTGCTCAATGAAATGCTATCAAGCGAGCCAATGCCACGCCGTGGGATGGCAAGCCCTAGACCTGCAATCACTTGCATGGCGAACTGGTGCAGGTACTTGACTCAAGCGATCAGATTTCATTGAGCAGCACAGTTGTTAAACTCATGCCGTGACCTGCTGTGGATCAACACATTCATTTTCTAATAACAGGATAGCATCAGCACTCCTCCAGTGTGTCCACAAATTCAACAGAAATCTGCCTCCATCAACAGTGGTCGATTTAGAGTATCCACGGAATAGCGCTGTCAAATGCATGTGTGCACATGCACAGTGCACACTTGCAGAAATGTGTGCGTGCACATCTTCACACACACACACACACACACACACACACACACACACGCACACACACAGCCGTACGGAGCACACACACACCACACACACACAGCCGTACGGAGCACACACACACACACACACACACACACACACACACACACACACACACACACACACACACACACACACACACACACACACACAGCACACACACACAGCACACAAACACAACACAGCACACACACACAGCCGTACGGAGCACACACAATGACTACTACTTACTCTGACCTTTCTTCCGTTTTTCTTCAGGTCGATGGGCACGCCCAGCCCACCAGCACCTCCAGCGGCAGGCATATCGCCAGCAGCTACACCGCGGCCACCGGCAGCAGTGCCGTTGATGGTGATCAGCGGGCGCTTGGCAAGTCGCCGTGACTCCTTCATTGCATCAAGGTGCATCTTCCACTGTTGTCTAGTGCACGCTCCGTACAGGGCATCATTGTCACTATTGCCGTCCGTGAATATACTGCCGTCAGTATCGTTAGTGTCCTTAGCTAAGGTCTCTATCATGGACGGAGCAAGACTGATGCGACTAATTTCACTGTCACTCTCGTCCGCGCTGCCCCCAGAGTTACCGTACTTCTGCGCGCGGAAGTACTTCTCCAGGCGCTTGCGGTCGACGGTGTGCAGATAGTACGACACCGGCTTGTCGGTCCAGGACACAGCACCTTGTATCGACTCTAACTCTATGACGGAAAGGATGGTACCAATATCTGTACACATACACACACGCACGCATGTGCACACACACACACACACACACACACACACACACACACACACACACACACACGTGCACATATATGCACAAGACACTTCAGTAGGGGTGAAACGAGTATACCGAATATTCGAATATTCGTTCGTTAGGCCTCAGCGAACGAACATTCGAAGTTCTCGCGAACATTCGAATTTTGAATGGTGCAGTGCCGGTACGGTGGTACACAACCTGCGCGCGCGGTTCACGGAGATTGTCGACAGTACATGGTCTGAACCAGCCCTTGAGACGATCGAGGCGACTACTACTGGTACCAAGAGTACATAACCCCCAAGAGTGTGCAACTCCAGCTATGGGGTCTGCGACGGGAGAACTTCACATCACGTGATGAACCCGTACACATTATTTGCACTCTGTGCATGATAGATACAGGGTTGTACGAAACCCAGCTTTGGGTTCAACTCTCTTGTGATCACTTTGCACTGTTTTCCAGTGTAACCTTTTGAACCATGTCACGTGATGTGAAGCTCTGCCGTCGCAGCACTGCATAGAGGTTGTGCAGGCAGTTGCACACTCTTGGTTATGTACTCTTGCTGGTACATGTAGGCGAACTTCGGAACACTCCGAACAGCGCAGTACTTACATTTTGTTCCTAGGTCTTCCGCTGACCACTTTGTAGTTTTTCTGTGTTTCGTGTTCGGACTGCTATACTGTTACCATGTCGAAACCTGTTTTCGGTCGTGCCTCCCGATCTGTTGTTTGGTACCATTTCACGAAATCCGCGGATGGAAAGTCGGCTACATGCAGGATCTGCCGCAGCGTATATGTCTATCACGGCAAAACTACGAGCAACCCGCATGCCCACCTGAAATCACAACATCCCTCTGTCGTGTCGGGAAGTGCAGCTGCAAATAGTTCTACTCCGTCAACAGGAAGTAAGTTAATGACGGACTTTGCTGTGAGTCAACGTTCTGGTCCGCAGCAGAAACAGTGCGGCGCTGCTCAAGCGGAGGCCATTAGCCAATTGCTCGTTAACTGGGTGACGGGCAGCATGCGCCCGCTCAACATCGTAAGAGATCCTGGCCTTCAGAGTCTGTTGGCATTCTTGCAGCCTGGCTACAGGGTACCGAGTCGAACCCACCTCACAGCCATGATTCGCTCCTGTTTTGAGTCAGGACGAAAAGAGCTTCGTGAGCTGTTGGCGGATGTGGAGTACGTGGCAATCACAACGGACGGATGGACATACATCCGTACCCAGCGAACAGGTCTTCTCTGCCGCCGGGCACATTGTGTCGAAGCTCCGTTCTGCTCTCGCTGCGGAGAATGTGGATGCTCTGATCTTCCTGCAGCAGAACCGGAACCTTCAAGCCAATCAGGAGGACGTCCCAGCCAATCTCCTGCCACTCTCCACCGAGCCTGAGCCAGTCGCCCTGGATGTGGTCTTGGAAGAGGAGCTGGAGGATGCCCCACCTCTTCCAAACGTGTGAGGTAAAGTAGAGCCTTGCCTTGTTTGTTGGTATTACTCTGTAACAGGTAGACCGGTTGTATTCTTTTCTCATATTGTTCTCTGGTTGTCTGTGTTCCTCCTTACACTTTGATTAATTGGACTTTTCTTTGTGTTCTTCTTGTGAATTTCTCTGCGTTGTCTGCAGGTTGCTGGTTGGTGTGAACGGTACTGAGTGCAACGGTGTATGTCCGTGTGTTGTTTGCCCTTTAGCCGTTCCTTTTAGCTGTTTTCTATGCACAATTGCCTGTTCGGGAGTCTCTATATTTATATTCGGTCAGACACTTGAAGCTGGAATGGCTCTGTTTCACTCTGTTGAGGTCTTCAAGTTTAGCTATTTATTTTTTCTTTGGGAGTCAGGGCCCCTCTGCCCGTTCTTTTTTTTGCTGATTTTGTTTGTGTGTTAACTTGTTTGGGAGTCTCTCTTCTTGTCCAGACGCTTGAACAATATTGAATGACCAATGCTTCCATTGTGCGGGCAATTTTTGAACGCGTCATGAAAGATGTATTCAAAAACTCCACTGTATGTTTTAGGGCTGCAACGAATATTCTATTTCACAAACGAACGAATACTCACCTATAACGAACGGATAACGAATATTCTCTCAAAATGCTGAATTATTTCTAAGGGTGAAACAAATATTTTAATAGGAACGAAACCAATTTTTTTATAAACTAATCGAATATTCTTTACCAAAAAAATCTTAGAAAGAGTTTGGCTAGTCCCCGGAAGTGATAGACCAAGTAGATGTCTAGTGGAGTCATGTCCACTACTCTTGTGAGTCATAATCCCCCTTCTCAACACATAACGCATGTATATATCACTCAATCCGTTCAATAATTACTACGATAGATCGACACAAGAGCAGAGTGTGCGCACGTGTCAAAACGAACGAATATTCTAAAGGGGAAAATATCCCTTCCATCGGGTTCAAAACGAATATCAATCGAATATTCCTTGCAACCCTAGTATGTTTTGCTTATACCGGGTTGTACACGAGCACACGTGTGTGAGGTAAATGTTAGAGAATGTTCGTTCGTTCGTTAACATCAAGAACGTTCGAATACTCAAAATTTATGTTCGTTTCAACCCTACACTTGAGTACATGATTCGGGACAGGATTCAGAAGACTAAATAGACATCACACAGTTCAATAGACCCATTGCGCATTGCCAAATATGGAATGCATGAGTAATGCTTGCGAGTACGCTGGGATCAGGAATGCACTGTCCAAAACCCCAGATGACCATGCCCAGGTGGCTGTGAAGGGTGTTTAGGGTGCAGATTACGTCATTGCGCAATGGGTCCATAGGATCTGTTAGCACTCCACATCCATGCATAGTACAATCATAGTAGGGTTTGGCCTGGACAGTTATCGCCGAAAACAATGCTAATGATGCTACAGTGAACCCATAGCAAGTTGTGCTTGTAGATCATCGCATGTTACAGTCTGCAAGGCTAAACTAAAGAATACACTGGCACATGAAGTTTCTTCCTCCCCGGGCTAGGGACCTCTTCGTGTCAGTTTTCAACTTTTCATGCACATGCACATCCACCCACCCACCCGCAGCACATGACATACTTCAGCACGACTGACCATCCACGAGCACGGAAGGAAAGCCAGGAGAACGAGAAAGAGAAGAAAGACCAGGGGTTGGGGGAATACACAGTCCGGAATTATTTCAGCTGACAATCATACATAGCCCAGTCGTAAAAATTAATATTAAAAACACTGCAGCCACATACCTGACAAATTTCTTTTTGTGATGCGGAAATTAATCGGGCAGAACTCGCGTGATGAAACCAAACGTGTACCTGGCAGCAGAGAACAGTTCACCATAGAAATCAAGGCAAAGTGCGAGACTTTGAATTGGCAGCAGAAGGCATACAGCCATACACTATCGGTAACACATTGGGTAACACATTGTCCAGGTCTGTTTGGGATAAACATAGAGAGTGGAGGTATAGCAACACTGTACACATGTATGGCAACCTGTGACTCTGTGAGCAGAGCATGCTGCTGCCCACTGCACACTGCACGTACTCACCTTCCTCAAGCTGAGCAAACCGCTCCTTGAGCTGAACAGGAAGAGATGTCAGCAGCGACAACGCCATGCGCGCCACACACAGACAGACACAGGCGGACAGACACAACACAAACACACAGACAGAGACACACACACATATACACACACAGACACAAACACAACAGACACACACGTGAAATCAGCTACACAGTGGAATGATAAAACAAGTACTCAGAAGGCTATGTGATTAGATAGCAAGGCACGTTAACAAATTAGAGAAAAAAACATCAACCAGAAAATGATGATAGGGGACTGATAGTAGGACCCTAACCTGGTGGTTAACGTGTGGTCCAAAAGCGAAGTTGTTTGCAAAGATGAAGCTGAAAAAACGAATACAGCATCAACACGCACCACGAATCAGACAAACACACACACACACACACACACAAATAAAAATGCGAGTTGAAGGACATGTATTTACAAGCATATCCCAAAAACCTGCACTTCCAATTGACAACATAGGAAGTAAGTGCATCCAGGAATCAGGAAGAACCACAGTGGCAAGTCATATTACTTTTTTTTAACGCCTACTGAGCAGCATGGGTTATTTCTGCAAATATCACAATATTAGAAGGGGGATGATAGCGTGTTCTTTCACCCCACTGACACAAGGTGACTGGAACCGACTCCGACTAAAAAAGAAGAAGAAAAAAGTAAATTATCGTGTCCGTTCCCTGAAAGGAACTCACGACGGCCGCTAACACCCGGCAAACCCTAGCACTGAAGTACTGACGCCGACTAGTACAGAACAAACCACATGTGCAGGTATAGAGACAGGAGATGAGAACCTGTTCCCATTCCACACACTGTACATACAATCATCAAGCAGCACGTACATGTACAGTGATGCATACCCCATACACACAGCATGTACAGTCATGAACAGCGATCATGCATACCCCATACACACAGCATGTACAGTCATGCATACCCCATACACACAGCATGTACATGTACAGTGATGCATACCCCATACACACAGCATGTACAGTGATCATGCATACCCCATACACACAGTAGCACAGAGCGCAGCATGCAGTGCGGACAGTACCTTGAGCTTGTTATCGTATCTTGGAATTCATCCAACAGGAAGTCACCTGCAATTATCTACAAAGAAACAAACATAAAAAATCGAAAATCAAAACAAACCCAGAGGATATAACAGAAGACAAAAGAAGACCACTGTGTGCACACGTACTCAGTATGCTGTTCAGTAGGGAAATCACCAACAAGCATGAATACATCGGAGTGCAGGCATTGTCAGCCACTGACAGTGTAGCAGTGCTGAAAGGTTTTTACTGAGCCTTGAGGTCCAGCTGAGGGTTTGCAGACTACTCACGGACTAGATTAGAAGCACATGGCGAACGCAGATGACCGCTGTGCGGTGGGTCAGGTTTCACTCCACATGTACTAGAGTTGCGGACAAAGAAACCCGACCCGCGAGTCAAAAGCAGCACCGCGTATCCATTTCAACTACATCATGCACGGTCCAAAGACCCATCCGAGGGTCGCAGGAGTCACATGAGCCTTGGTGCCGCTATTGGGTCATGGGTTGGATTTCATTGGCTACAACTGTAGTATTCACAGATCAACATAATTATTCGTCATGAATGGCGACACTACCATTCACGATTTCTATGCACTACAGTCAACTTCGCCTATAACGACACTCGGCGGGGCATCAAAAAAGTGTCCTTATTCGCGAAGTGTCGTTATACTCGAGTCTCATTATTACGTATTACAGTTGGAAGGGACTTTGCTCTGGGCATGGAAATGCTGTCGTTATTGGCGAATTGTCGTTATATCCGCAGTCGTTATTAGCCAAGTTGACTGTATAACGTATCCAGGTTGTATCCTTATATGTCTCCAAGTCTTGTCCTATGCATGTACATGTATGCGTTTGGTCATTCTCACTTTTCGGTCCAATACATGTCCTGTATACCCTGTGACCTCCTCTTGCTTCCATTCTGGATCCGGTACACACTGCACTGGTGTCCTACATGAACCACGTATACTGAGTATACGTGGTTCATGTAGGACACCAGTGCAGTGCTGGTAACTCGGCCTATTTAGCTCGTAGCTGTACTGATTAGGCCTTTATGGCCGAAACAGCTTGCTGTCTACAGCATTGGGTATACTGAGTATATACGTGTTGATGCACTTCACAGCATCCTTGTTTAGCACAGTCCTGTACTGTACTGAGACTGTACTGTGCATACTCACATGTGCTTCTTTTCGGCTACCCGCACGAGTCACTGCATTCCGTCAAGGCGCCGGAGGTCTTGTAGATTCTCCTGTTTCTTTGCGTCTCCGTCAGAGCTCTTTGTCCGGTCCCATTGTCTCTTTTTTTTGTCTTCGTATTTCTGCTGATTCTTCACACAAGTCATGCCATCACCACCATGCTCTGCAATAAGCATGCGCTTGGAGAGATAACAGCTGCTTCAGTTTTTTCCCTCTTCTTCTCCAATCAGTTTTTCACTCAATGGTCTCCGTAACAAACAAAATAACATTTTCTGCAGCTGCGTACCGTGTTCACCCACATACAAGTACATTCATGCCCTTACATGCGAAAATGGTTTTTTTTCCATTTCGCTAGAAAACAAATGTTCCGGGTACAAGGCATGTCTTTCAATATGAGCACTCAAGTCGTCAAAACACACGCTTGCCTCCTCAGTTTGTTCCCATGTCTTTATATGTGGAGGTGCCCCTGTATTCGAATATAAGTCTGTGCCCTTTTATGCGCGCGAATACAGTACGCGTGCAGCGGATACATACAGGATAGCATGACAGGCACGCGTACTCACAGTGAAAGGCGTGAACCTCTTGCCGTACCACGCCATCCACTTGCGAAACTGCTTTTCCATCTCCTACACATGCAAAAGCAGCAGCGGAAACATCAACAACACGGACAAGGGATTCAAAGGAGACGATCAGGGAATTACCATCCTAAACGGCCAGATGAACACATCACGTGGAAATTTAAATAGACAAGATTTAGCCAGGAGACTGATGTAGAAGACTCTACTGCAGCTCTACTTATGGTTGAATCATAATATTATGGGGGTAAAGACACACCTGGTGGAACGGCGGTAAATACTAAATGCACACCTGCACACACACACCATTTGACGCCCACACACACACACGCACGCAAACACACACACACACGCTCTCTAAGCGGCAAAGTTACAATAAGCACTACCTGATGTACCAGCCTACTACGTCAGATACCACCGGCCAAGCATCGACTAGGCACCATGCGCAAACTGATGGCGGTGATGGTGAGAAGAAGAGCTCTGTGCCAGATTGTAACGTTGCAGCTTCGAGAGAGAGAGCGCGCGCGCGTGTGTGTGTGTGCAGCGCAGGCATGTATTTACCGCCATTTCACCAGGTGCGTCTTTACCACCATACAAATGAACATACACCCAATCTACATATTTTAAAACATCTTCTAAAAGAGCAGATAGGCACCACAGTGGCACACATCACACCTGCATCAGTGCACCTCCACACACCACACATACACACACACACACACACACACACCATGTACCATGTACCATGTATACGCCCGTTGCAAGAGAAGCACGCAAATCTGCAAATGCACTGGATGTGCACCCACAGATTTACACACACACACACACACACACACACACACACACACACACACACACACACACACACACACGTGTTGTGTACCCACCTTGGCGTAGGCGGCTGGCCGCTCCGCTTTCTCAATACCCATGATTCGCTTGCATTCAACCATCGCAGCCACATGAAGAACAACATTACCAACACCTGGACAGAACACCCGGCGGTTGAGCATCATGCAACATTAGACAGACAGAGTGCACAAACTGACCTACAACTGCAATTATCACTCCCCCCTCACGTGACCGCGGACTCCTGCATATACACTCACACAATAACCACACAACTGTTTGGGGATAGCGCGCTTCTTGTATTATGCCAAACTTGACACGCTGAGTCCAGCTTGACTCAGCTGAGTCCCTAACTGCTATTTACTGCTCTAACATGAAGCCGTGCCTGGAAGAAGGGAAAGAGCGAAAAAGAAAAAAATTCTGGCCTTCTGCAAGCAATAGCAAGTAATGAGTGCCGGCTGTGTAAAGTCGCACAACCATGAAGTCGACCGGATGATGGTGAGTGTCCGGCACACCTCTTGCTCTGCTGCTCCACCTGCGCATACCTGATACGGTGGTTCCCTTACGGGCGGGCTGCCTGGGCCCCATATGCCTCCCTGATGCGCCACGGGGTGCAGTCGAAGCACCTGTATCACTTCGGTGATCCAAATGCGAATGCAGCCTTGCCGGTCGCCCGCCGGCCTGCCGCCTACGCGACCAGCCTGAGACTGGCCCTGCCGCATTTGGCGCTTCTAAACGCTGCGATCCGGTAGACAGCTCACTGGGCTGCCAAATACGTGACTGGCTTGAGGACAGTTCCATACTGCACGGCAGGGCGCCCAGGGCGCTTACGGGCGGGCTGCCTGGGCCCCATATGCCTCCCTGATGCGCCACGGGGTGCAGTCGAAGCACCTGTATCACTTCGGTGATCCAAATGCGAATGCAGCCTTGCCGGTCGCCCGCCGGCCTGCCGCCTACGCGACCAGCCTGAGACTGGCCCTGCCGCATTTGGCGCTTCTAAACGCTGCGATCCGGTAGACAGCTCACTGGGCTGCCAAATACGTGACTGGCTTGAGGACAGTTCCATACTGCACGGCAGGGCGCCCAGGGCGCTTACGGGCGGGCTGCCTGGGCCCCATATGCCTCCCTGATGCGCCACGGGGTGCAGTCGAAGCACCTGTATCACTTCGGTGATCCAAATGCGAATGCAGCCTTGCCGGTCGCCCGCCGGCCTGCCGCCTACGCGACCAGCCTGAGACTGGCCCTGCCGCATTTGGCGCTTCTAAACGCTGCGATCCGGTAGACAGCTCACTGGGCTGCCTAATACGTGACTGGCTTGAGGACAGTTCCATACTGCACGGCAGGGCGCCCAGCTCGGTTGAACGCCGTAGCGGCGTGAGCTGGGCGCGGTGAGGGTTGGTGATAACTACAGTTTCCTCCTTCCTCCTCCGGAAACTTCCATTAAAACACAACCAAGTTGGCATCTGTATGGTTAAACACGGTTAAACACATGGTTAAACATGGCTAAACGTTCCAAGCAGATAATGGCAGTGTGGTACAGAGCTACAATAACCATATTATGATAAGACTACACAAATACATGTACAATCCAAGTTAAATGGGAAAGTCCCAGGCGGTTGGGGCAGGTATTTTACCTGGCAGTACGTATGGCAATTCGATCCACATGCTATAGGCCACGGCACCACTGTTGCAACCCCAGGACAGATCCTAAATATTACAGGGGCCTGTACCAGAGAGCAACACAAGCAGAGAGTCACTTACCACTTCCAAGATCAAGGAAAGAATCCGTGGACTTGATTCGAACTTTCTCAATTATCTTATTTACAAGCTCAAACGAGGTCTCTCCATACACCTGCATCCCAGGAAAGATCAAAAATAAAATAAAATGAACAGGACTACATTCGTTCTGACGATGGGTGACTGGCCCGAAACGTCAATAATTTTTAGACATCACAATAAAGAAATTTTCATCCAGCGCATGCGCCGATTGTGAATAGCAACTGAATAGAGCGGCTGTCAGTTGACAAACCCCCTTTTCTTTATAATGCAGTTGCATGTTGTCCTCCACTCTCTTAGTGATGACTGCATTCACATATAGCAGCCTTGGTCACCAATCACCACATGCTGGGTACGATGAACAGGATGGAAGCAAAGTCAAGCGAGAAAAAAAATGAGCAGTTCCTGAGAAAGCACGAGACCCGACAATGAACCAAGGCCAGAGATGGACTCAGTAATCAGAGCTGAAGTGATTCACAAATCAACTGCCGCTGCCACCTACCTCCGGCGAGAACGGTTCGTAGAGATTGAGCTTTTCCGGATCCACTACGCTGTGGTTGTAGACCTGCTGGAAGATATGCCGGACCAGCTCTGGAGACGCTCTAGTGCCCAAGCACTTTGGTGGCATCTGCCCCGACCACTATCGTGATAAGAAAAAAAAGCAAAGCGTAATTATTGTTGTGGGTTACGAGTCAAAGTTAGACAATAAGCAGGTGATGGTCTTGTTTCGCCACTAGAGTAGAACCCGGGTTAGGGATCCACCTAACTCTGAGCGGACATAGCTGGACTCAGTTGTACAGGGACGGGCAAAAAGGTGTGCAAAACGACTTTTTGTGAGTAGATGGACCCCGGAAAAATAGTTTGGAGCGAAAAAAATTACGGCTTCCTCGGAAACCGATGGGGGACCCCCCCCCCCCCCCTGGGCCGGAAATTAAATCCCGGTATAAGGATCACCCGCACAATGTACATGCCAAGCGCCCCCCCCCCCCAAAGATCACCCGCACAATGTACGTGCCAAGTGACCCCCCCCCCCCCCCCCCATCCCTAATCCGGTGTGACCCTTAACCCGGGTTCTACTCTAGAGACAATCTAGTCAACACACATGGATGCTCAGGAGCACACAGGAGAGAAACGCTAAGGTACAGAAGTAGAAAGAAAGCAACGAAAAAGTGCCATGTGGGCTTCAGCACTGCTACACTCACCAGTCGTTTTACATGGTCAATGGACCGATTGTACTTGTCACACAATGCTTTCATCTTCTCGTAGCTGCAATAGACAACAGGGAAAAAATATGAGCATGTGATTGCAGATGTCTTGCCTTCACAGTGCCTGCTTCAAAGGTGAGGTGCGGTGCGTGCGTGTGTGTGTATCCTGCATGTGCATGCACAGGTGAAACCTGGGATTTTGTCAGCGACCAAAGTGGGACCGGCCTATCGCCGTCTTTGAACGCAGGCAGTCGCTGAAACCAGGATGCCGCTCCCACATTACACTAATTTGGTGCTAAAGAGTGGTGGTCCTGCAGACCAGGTGGCTGCCTAAACCGGGTGGTCGCTTCATCAGGTTCGACATGTACTTGTACATGTGTGTGGGCAAGTACCAGTGGAGTGGTTATCTTCAGCCAGCTGTGTGCACACAGCGAGTACAATGACTGCATGATACTATGCACATCAGTTCGAAGAGAGGTGAAAAAAGTCTATGGCATAGAATTACAATGGATATGAAAGTGGGCAAGTTAAATTCGACCCCCTGACTACTCGCACGCAAAACAGATTTGACACGTGCCTAAAAAGTAAAAGCGCATGTGGGCCGGCTGGGCTCTGCTTGACTATCTCGTTTACTTCTTTCAATGTCAAAGCGGTTCCTGCTCAGCGCAAGCATATTCATGTTTCCATTGAGTGCCAGCAACAGTCGGGGTTTTAGATACCCCTCTCCCATGCCTCACCAATGTAAACAGTGTAAATCACCGAATACATAAAATACGAAAAGTCATGAAAGTATCTAAAATATGCTCGTGTGAGGGGTACCCTTGCACACACAAGTGTGAGACATAAGATACCAAAACAGGCACAGACAATTGAAGACTTGAAGGAAAACACACACACACACACACACACACACACACACACACACGGAGGGGTACCTGGAGCAGTCGATGTCGTGGAACACATGGTTTTGCATGGCCGGCCATAGCTCGGGGAAGTCTCGGCAGACCCATCTGAGCACAGACAGGAACACACATGGCACTCAGCACTATATTGTAAGTTAGGAGCATTGCACATCTCATGGACTCTAGACAGTGCTTTATTGAAAAATCCATGGGTGACGGGAAAAAAATGAAGTGAAGAATTCAAAGCTGGACTCCGGGAGTGGGACTAGTAGTATTACCAGGAAACAAGAACACAGACTACACCTAATAGTAATACTGAAACACACACACACACACACACACACACACGTAAGCATGTGCACATGCACGCACACGCACACAGCAGCAGCAGCGGCAGCACCGCCATCACATGTACAGTCCCTACCCAGTGGCAATTCTGAGAAGCATACACCAGTACTACAACAGACATAGCCGATGGTGCACTGAGCCCTGGAAGCGCAACACCATGCCTGTCTCTCTACAGTGGATGGAGCCTCTTGTATGGGCAGGAGCACTGCAACAAGCCATTGAAGAGATAACACGACTAAACCCAACGTCTCTCTACAGTCAATACACAGCTGAACATTTTACACAAGAACTTCAAAGTAACTGGCTCTTACTTGATAGTCTCAACGATTTCCGTAGCTTCGTTAACCGTATGCTGCACACACACACACACACACACACACACACACACACACACACACACACACACACACACACACACACACACACACACACACACACACACACACACACACACACACACACACAAGAGGATTCGTTTCGGAACATGTCTCTGGCAAACACAGCGAAACGAATAGTCACTTGCTGACAAAGTGGTGAATGGTGACTTGACGCAAAAGCTCTCTAGCGCCATGATAATGCCAATGGCGATCGGGAGGTTTAGTCACACGTTGACAAGCACAGCATCTGCATTTTGCGTGCACAGTCTAGAGTTTCGCTGATAAGATTCGTTCAGAAGAATCAAGCACCTTTCATTCGTCCGCTCCTTATGAGACTGTACAGCTCCATTATATGGATCAAAGCCGTCTACACAGTGAGGTAAATATGGTAATGTCTGCAGGATTCTTCCTATTGAAATAATAAATACTACTAATACTAATACAACTGAATCAGCACCGCTTGTACCAAAAGCATCACTCAAAAAAGCCAGTCACGAAAACAGATCCAGTTTTGGTCATTTGAACTGATGCAAGATGAACCAAATCACCACCATTTTATTGGGCTCGCAGAATACCTTGTGCTGATGCGCTGGTATGCGATTGCAATCTATCTCTTTCGTGCGTTGAGATACCTGCGCCTTGCTTCTTTGTGCCCCCCTTCCGACACTAATAATTATGATAAGAGGCTACAGCTCCTGGTGATGAGTTATTATGGGCTGTGCTGAAGTAGGGGTGTTGAAATGGCAAAGCACAATACTAAAAAGGCATTGTTCAGACAAATTGAGGACTAGATGGGTAAACTCAGAGTTAAATCAACATTCACGACAAATATGGCTTGGTAGCAGAAAAGACTGTCCTAACACTTCACTGGAAGTAACCTCGCCTGCAATACACTGGCCAGACATACAAGGGAAAAGGAATTGAGTAACTACAGGTCATCGCAGGGCAGCGGGACAAGCGGCTTCGGTAGAAGTCGACGCAGTTTTCTCCAGTTTAGCCTGGCGCATAATTTCCTGAATTAAAATTCGTCCTGACAGTTCGGCATGCATGGCCATTGCAGTACTTAGCAGTAGATCATGTACATTTTTTTCACCCTTTGGTGATTTGAGTTTGGTCCTCATTGCAATGCATCTGCTTGAAAGTACACGTAGAAAAATTGTAAAAGGATGAATAGCCCTGATGATGCCCAATGGGCGAAATATTGGCAAAGTTATTTATTTATCTATTTGGTGCAGCTGAGAGCCTGTTGCCGGAATGGCGGTATTTTCAAGGATGAATAGCCTAAAGAAAAAAGAAGAAAGCCAAGGTGCCAAAATTCAATCACGACTGCAGCCAACTGCACTATCTGCACACATCCTCATCGAGCAAGTGGTCCCTAATGCATGAAAATAACACAGGGTGCTAGTAGTAGAAGAATACCATGGTGATAATGGAGCAGCACAGGTGAAAGGACATAATAGAGATGCCAAGAAATGAGATTGATGGGAATTTTAATGAATATTACTCTGTTTTGAATATTACAAGCTGAAGTTACGTACTAGTATATAAAAGGGGGTTTGTCAACTGACAACCGCTCTAAAGTTTACGTCTATTGGCGTGAATTAGTCCGCCAAAGACCAACATGCAATGGCCACCAATGACTGTTGAAATTATGGAAAATAGACACACAAAAAAAGAAGAAGTAAATACATGTAATTCCAAGATTCCAAGTTTCGAAATGCGGCATGATTGTGTGAGGAATAAGGTGAGATGTGAGAATAGAACACCCATTCCACTTACATTTACTTGCAACGGCCATGCGTAAACCACTGGTTCCACGTTCCGAGCAGGGCTATGCAATCGGAGCTCCAGCTTATCTTTGGCCACAGGCTGAGGCATACTGCCTGGAAGAAGTGCTACTGATTCCACATTAGAGAAGTCCTATTTTGACTCCAAAATTTGACGTTGTGACACAAGGAAAATCGGCACGAGCGGACCGAGCGACTGCAAAATAATGATACGAGGTAACGAAAACTGCAACATGGAAGACTGGTTGGTTAGGAAATATAACATAAGCATCACCAATGCTTCACAAATTGGTGCTTGTCAAAGAGGTTTTATGCTGTTTCTCAGTTCAAACACATTCCCGTCCGCTCATTCTCAGCACATTCTCATCCCGAGCTTGAAACGATGAACGATTTCGCGTGCCAACGCGGCCCATCCGCATGTATACATGTAGTGAACTGGTCGGCTACGTGCACACCCGATCCGCTCGTCGAGTGTGTCGCGATCATCACATGCACACTCAATGAATGTTCCACGTGGTCCTGCCTGGCCTTCGCAGAATGGCGCGAAACGGTTCAGGCGGCGCTAGGCGCGGTACGTGCCATAGCCGCGTCGCTAGTTGTTACCGGTGCACCGCGCCGCCAGCTCGTACCGCGCCGGGTTCACGCCGTTGCCCTGCCAGCTACGCCGTTGGGTTTGGCCATTTCAAAATCAAAAATCAAAGAACAAAACTGTGTTCGATCGTCATGACATTCATGCTGCTCCTCTTTTTGTTTTTTTAGGAAATAGCAGCTAGCTTTGAGTTTGGGAACTTGCTCGTCTTTGTATCTGAGTCTTGGCTCAGTTCACTGTTCGAGAAGAAGCTGGCTTTTGCTTGCCGAGACAACCGTCCGCTTGCACTCAGATATCGAGTTGCCTCATCTTGTTATATCCCCTGTTGGAATCACCCACCAGGAACAGAGAATTGTTTTGCCTTTTGGTCAAGTGCGCTCAGTAGTACTTGTGCCTGCGGCGCAGATGTTTCGGCTTGCCTGAACAGACGAGCCGGAACCAACCGGGACTGTGAGGCGACTGTAAGCAAGTCTGTAAGCAAGGCGACTGTAAGCAAGTCACAAACTACAACAGTACATAACGCCCTCTCGCTGTAAAGCAATGTATACATGTATGTAAACTGCTCTAAAACCTTTTTACTACAGTTGTAGTTCAAAAATCAAAACACTATAATTATATTGGTGGCAATGACTTTTCCCAGTTGTTGTGATGTAATGAAACCGGCCTGTTTGGGGTTGTGCCACTAGAAAACCATCATCGTGTCTCTTTCTAACAGCACTTTTTTTCGTCGTGCAAATCCCGGGATAGGAGACTGAAACGGAAAAAAAAACAATTTCCGCCTGGTGTTGCCTGACGGTCAGTCAAGGGGGTCATCAAACCATTATAAGTTGTGCGTGCGTGCACGTGTGTGTGTGTGTGTGTGTGTGTGTGTGTGTGTGTGTGGTGTGCGTTCGTATGTGTGTTGATGTGCGTGCATAGTGGTGTACGTGTGTGGGTGGGGGATTGTGTGTGCATGCCAATGCATGTGTGCACGTGTTTCTGTATGTGTGCATGTGTGCGCGCACGAACAGTCATAGCAAATGAATGAAAAGAAAGATGAAAACTAGTTGCTTGCAGGGCAACACTTGACCTAACATTACTATTGGAACCTGGAAACTTAAGCGGGCGATTAAATGTTCGCTAGTTTTGCTACCAACCCGACCCACTCAGAAACTGAAGAGGGGTCCATGACATTTGCTAACTAGCAACACCTGGAGCCCTAATCCCAAAGACTTGCCATGCGTTGAGTGAAACATGCATTTCGAGGGTATAAACATGTAATTTTCGGTGTAATTTTAATTTCGGTGATTTCGGTAGAGAAACCAGGCACCTAAATTTAAAAATTACACCTAAAAGCCTGAGGCACTAGAGTATGCACTGTATGTGAAGGGAACGCTGGTCACCTAATTCTAAATTACACCTGAAACCTGGCAGGTCCCTGGCACCGAAATTTTAATGCACCGAAATTTACATGTTGCGGCCTATTTTACTTGTTGAAGTGCCACGTTGATGATGTGTACAGTATTTGTACACAGTATTTTATTGGCCTAGTAGTGTATGCGAAAGGAAGGCCGAGAGAAAGCAGTGCCATTGGTTTTCTGAAGGAGAGGTTGATTTGTTGTGTATGTGACTTGTGTTGGCCCTGTAGATCGAGGAGCTTTCTGCTTTTATGCCGCAAGAAGTCCTTCTCACAGATCATGAGACACTTCGCAACATGGTATGGACGTTCAAACTCTCTTTTGATCTGACCGCTCCCTATGTTTTGCGTTCGGCGCAGACCTTGTCATGTTATGTTACCCTTATTTTACTTCACCATAGGTACAGGCATTGCTGCCTTCCTGCTGTGGATCATGAATGATGCCACAGCTCCTAGGCTATCATGTACCCAGTAGTGTGCACTATGGGGCATAAAAGCATGATCAGAGCTGATTTCACGAGATAAGCATTGCAACAGGTTCTACCATGGACTTTTGGTGGAGTGAAAGGTGCCCAGTGCCCACACTCCAGCAGTAATTCAGATTCCAACTACCCTTAGATAGGGATCTCAGCGCGTGCAATGCGCAGGGTGTTTGCGCATACATTGCGTCATCGAGTTTTGAGTGCAGCTCGCGGACACAGGCACAAAATGGCGACAGTTGATAAAACCAAGGCAAACTGCGCTGCAAAGGCAAAAAAAGGAAAGCTGACAGGATATCTAGGATCGCTTTCTAAAATTTTAAATGTTTGAGTCTTGACTTGAGAGAGAAAGGAGATCTGAACTCACCATTCAAGATTCGTCGCTGGTGCTGCTTTCTACTTCTGATGTTGTGACCGGGGTCACCGTGCTGCCGACAAGTTCAAGTAGATTTGCAGCTAGTTGCCAAGTGAGCTGTTTGCCGGCATGCGAGAACTGGAACAATTTCTTGTCAGCTTTCTGCTGCAAGACAACCTTGCGGAATTTCAGCTGTGTCTTCAGTGCGCTCACCTTGCCTGACACTGTGGCGATCCCTGCCAGTTTGCTGGTAATTATATCGGTGTCCGTCCAGCAACCAGCCTGCCCGATGGCCACGGAGAGTTGCTGTCGGACTTCCAGGGCCCGCTTCTCTCTAGACTGGCGATCAGCCTCTTTCGCGATGATCTCCTCGCGTCGGAACTTTGCGATCTCTGCGCAGCGCTGGCGATATTGCTGCCGATGCTTCTCAGCACCATGGAGAGCCCTGGAGAAGAGCTCCTCTTTCCGCGCAGTGCTCTGCTGCTCAAGCCAGGCTCCTGTTTTGTTGCCGCTGAAGAGGACCATGCCCTCGATGGCGATGAGGGATGCGTTGGGTTTTTCCCGACACAGTCTGTCCAGCTGAGCGAACGCTCTTTCGCTTGCAACGTTGGTGGTGGCGACGCTGGATGTCACCGTACGCAAGTCCGTCGACATAGTGCGGTGAATCCCACCTGGAAGGTGGGCTGCCAGAAGACGTTTCGAATATGTGGCGAAAGACCTGGATAGCAGCTGCAGGATGACACTCGTTTCTTGATCAGAACTGTCTGCAGTGAATAAAGATGTACTGACTTCATCCACTGAGGCAATGGCGCCCGGAAATGGACGTGCAGACCCGTCCAGAAGATCCTGTGGATCGTCTTGCCAGGCATCCAGCTTGTTGCATATGGCAGTATACACTTCGCTCATGTCAGCGATGTGGACGCTCGGGTTGGCCAGGACACGCCAAAGAGGGCCAGTGAGGACTTTGTCAAAGATGCCAAGAGCTCGACAGGCAGCGACATACCCAGGGACGGCTACATCTGCACGGACTGCAACATGCAGACGATTCGGGGTGCCAAACACCCTGTCATAAAATGACAGAATGCTGTCTCGTAGGTAGTAAACGCCTGCAGCGTTATAGAATAAAATGTTAAAACGGTTCCCTACAAACCGAGCCAGTGGAATGGTGTTTATGCCCTGCGTCTCCAAAAAAGACTGAAACTGCGCATGATTGCCGCTCTGCTCATTGCAATGGGCCTCTAGTGCCTTGCATACCGTGCGTACCAGGCGGACTGGCCCAGGCTCTCCAGTAGTGAAGCTGCCGACTGCTGCTGCACCCACACCGCTGGCATATTCCGCCTTCTCCCACGCGCGCATCGTTTCCTGCGCCTGCTCTGCCAGCCCGACTATGAAATGAAGGCCGCAGTAGAAGTTGTTAACAACACCAAGGCGTGCTTTTGCATCGTCAGGAAGCTCGCTCCAGCCGTCAACAACGCTAGGCATCACCGTCTGGCGAAACTCCTGCAGCATGTTGTTGCAGCTCTTCTCGACACTGCCCCGGTCAGACATTGTGTTCTTTATGTTGGTAATTATGCGATTGAACACTGCACCACTGTGGCCTGCATTTTGTGTTGCCGTCTCAATGTCTCTGACCATGTCCAGTACTGCCTCAAAACAGTGCTGTGCAGATCCTGACCTGACTTGGGAGAGGCCTAGATCTAGGGTGGCATCAGCAGTTGAAATCTGAGCACCATAGTACTTCTTGCCATTCTTTGTGGTGCCGTCTCGGTGGAGCGTCAAGTTTTGTGTTGCCATTAGCTGCTCACCAAGCTGAGTTAGTACTAACTGCTTCGCTTCACCAAGAAAACCACACATCTTGGCTGGGCTTGGCAGTCGTTCAATATGATAGGATGTTAGCGTTGTGATGACGGTTTTTATGACCGCTGACACGTGTTCTACACCAACGTTGTGCAAGGAGCTGAATGCAGCACTGGCGTACTGAGCTTGTGTACTGTAGTGGGGATCCTGACATGGTCCTGATGTTGCCACATTGCTGCAGTGTGTCATGTTGACGAGTAAGCTTTGCAACTTCTTCCTGTGCTGCACAGAGAGATTCTTCTAGCTGCGTCGCCTTTTCTTTGAGCTTTTTGTTCACACTCATCAGTGTGCTGCTGTTATTTCCGTATATGTTCCTCAACTTTGCCTCCTTGGCTTTGCCTGCTGTCACCACAGCCAGCTGTTTGCTAAGATTGTCAATGCGGGCTTGCAAGGACAGTACTGCTGTTTCCATTGTTGATGTATGCTTTGAGCGCAGTCTCGCTAGTTGCTTCTTTGTGCTGATAGTCTTCCGGCGTGCGTTTTCGATGCATTCTCTCTGCTCATCAATTCTCTTCTTCTGCTCGCTTACCTGTTGCTCAAGTTTTCTGAGTTCAGCAAGCTCTGTGTTTACGATGCTGCTATTGCTCTTTTGCTGAGGCAGCTGACATTCGTACCATGCCTGGCAATGTAAACACAGAAAAGAGAGGATTGTTTTTGATGTAGCTACGCACCCCGTTTTATATATATCCACCGTTCTCACTTACCTGTTGAAATGTGAAACCTTCCGGCAAATACTGTTTAATATCTTGCTTGGTCGGAGCTTTTTTCAGACAGTCGCTACAAATGTGTCTACCCTTGCCAGATCCTGGATTGTGCATGGGCAAATGGAGAATGGGATTTGTGTGTGAGTCAGTGTATGTATTCTGTGTTCAGGGCAACATGGGTACTTGCCAGGAATCTTCTTTAGAACTGCTAGAAGACTTTCAGAGCATATGATCAAGCTGCATTGATCTGAACATTTCCAGTCTTTATGGAACTTATTGAAACAAGCTGGTGCAAATATACCTCCGGCTGAACGTCGTTCATGACGTCTAACGACTGCTGATTTTATCTTGCCCATAACCAATTTGGAACAAAATGTCCGAGAAGTTTGGCAAAGAACGCGATCTTAGGCAGCAGAAGTCGTCCGGACAAGTAACTGTAGGACAGTAACGACGCAAGGGCCTAGATAACGACGAGGAAAAATAATGCTCACGATCGACACTAGCGGAATCGTCATCTTCATCGTCGTTCGAACACATGGTGATTCCCGCCACAGGAAAGCGTGGCCAAGGCGATATTGCCCCGGTCGATTTTCCTATAATTTGCCATGCGGCAAGAACCCACTTCAGAGAAGATTCAGTGAAAAATTCAGACGTTTTCTCCGGTTAGGGGCCGTCCGGGGTTACCGATTGTTTTTACAAAACGAAAAGTTTTAGTATTTTTCAGCCCCCACCCACCCACCCACCTTTTCTGCAGGTAAAACGAATTCCAATAAAATATTGATGTCAATTTTCGACACCCAGAAGTAACTGGGCATTCTCCATCAGCATTCAATAATTATTTTCAAAACGAAACTCCATCAAACCCACCCACCCACAAACGAAATCATTTCGTTTTGAAAATATTATTGGTAACCTTGGACGGCTCCTTAGATTGTCGTAACTTCGATTTTCAGAGCATCAGCCATCGTGAACATCGCCGCCATTATCACTCAGAGAGAAGACATCGCGCTCAGAAGAAGAGGTGTTCACGCTGCGTCCAAGAGTGAACTATTGTGCTCTTTGACCCTCCATAGTTCCTCTGAGAGAGTGCCAGGGAGATAGGTAGCTGGGAAATGGCCGTAGAACGTGCTTTCCTGGACGCAATATTCAGCCATTTCTACCGTCTTCTTCAACTTGATTTATTTCGAAAAAAATGTTCTTTTTCAGGGTTTCTGCACTGGACGCGTTTGGGATCGAAAATGCGCAAACAGGCTGTGCAGCTCACGCGCTGAGATCCCTACCTTAGAGAGTTGAGCCTGTTGACTACCGTAAAAGTCCGTAAATAAGTACGTATTTACTTTCGAATTTAGTGACCACACCCGTACTAACTTTCGGGCGGGTACTGACTTTCGGGCACGAACTAACTTTCGGACCTGACTTGTGTCAGTGTAGTGGAGAAGTCATTTCCATGTCGATGTACATGCTACGTGCTGCATGTGCGCACCGTACCGGTACTTATTTCGGGCAGTATGTTTAACGGGCTTCACTTGACTTCAACAGACAGAGCCTAAAGAATGAAGGGGGTATTTCTTTCGGGCAGGTACTTATTTTCGGACTTTTACGGTATTCCTACATGTAGGGTATGGGGGCAAGACGCAGCACAGGAATGCATCGACAGCGGCTGAAGACACGCTAGGGGTCGTGTTCCAACATATCTGATAGACCCTAAATCAGTTGTCCATATCTGTGTGTGTGTACATGTGTGTGTGTGTGTGTGTGTGTGTGTGTGTGTGTGTGTGTGCGTGTGTGTGTGTGTGTGTGTGCGTGTGTGTGTGTGTGTGTGTGTGTGTGTGTGTGTGTGCGTGTACATGTGTGTGCGTGTACATGTGTGTGCGTGTACATGTGTGTGCGTGTATATGTGTGTGTGTGTGTGTGTGTGTGTGGGGGGGTAAACTCACTCCTAGGTGACCGTGTGGGTGCTGTGAGCGATAATCAGCCGGCTGGCAACGGCACCATGGCTACTCTGTCGATAGCGCATCGTTCTGACCAATCAAGGCCACCACTAGGTCCGCAGGCAGCAGCCGGTGTTGCCGGTGGTGACTCAGGAGCAGACGCGTTCCCTGCAGTCAATCCCAGCGCCGTGTTCGGCGATGCGGTGCGATTCTCATCCACGACTTCATCAGTAAGACACTGGACGTATTGTACAAGAGGCATTGGTATTGCACTGTTTGGATTGCTTTTGTCCTGGGCTCAGTGGACACTGCTACTTTTGTGAGCAGTCCTGTGTCAAGTTTTGTTTATAGCGCCTGTGACAAGGCTAGCTTACAGTCCATTCAGAAAAAGATGAGCACTGGCCCTGGAGAGCTCCCGTGTTTGGTGATTTTGCCAGTGCCGCGAGATTCGAAACTTGAAAAAGGGTCCAAAAAAGATACCTCAACTGGGGTTTGAACCGCAAATGTACTGTTCTGCAAGTGGAGTGCGCGGGTTGGATTTCCATGGCTTTTCCCCAATTCAGTGCTTTCGGGGCAAAACGTGGCTGAAATCCTATTCTTGTTATGGCTTGCTCCTTGGAGAAATAGACTTCAAAAATACAATTGGAAGAGCATTCCCTGGGGGATTGCCAAAAAATTGTGACAAAAACTCCAAATTTGACCCATTTACGGCCAAAAGCTAGGATATCATCTTTTTCTGAATGGACTGTAGTCAACATTATCTTGCCATGGTATTGTTCTGTCCAGAGTCGAACGAGTGAAACTACTGACATTGTACGGGAACAGCGCGCTCCACTTCACGGTGGTGTTCCAACCGTGACCGTGCGTGCAGTCAGTGCCGATGTGCCACTGCGCCACTTCCCGCTGCCGCCCATGGCAGCGCTGTCTCGCTCACCGCCGAATGCAGATGGTACGTGCTGCATACATGTGTGCGTGCGCGCACGCGCGCGCGCGCGTGTGTGTGTGTGTGTGTGTGTGTGTTTATGATAACTCGTGGGCCCTCATTTTCCGATGATCCTGCCCCTCTTGGCAACAACACCTGGCTCTACCGGGCATTGCAGGCGCTCACCCGTGGCGCAGGCCTGTTGTAGTGTTGGCAACGCCTTGCTTTGCCCAGAGTTGCAGCCGCTCACTCGCGAGCATGTAGGACTTGGCATAGCAGCCGCCCATCCGGCAAAGGCCGGGAATGGAAATGAAAGACAGCTTGTTGGTAAACATGTGGTTAATAACAAAGCAAGCAGGCCACCCAGCTGAGGGTAATGGATGGGACAGACGCAATGCAACTATTCTATCCACAGCTTACGTCATCCACAGCTTACGTCATGGTCTGTATGTGTACGTGTGCATGTCCATGTGTCTTTGTAGATAGTCTGGCTAAGCTCCAGCAGCGCGTAGAGGCTCAGCGCCAATTGTCCCATCAACAAGGTTGGTTGCTGTAGCGTAGCGTCTTTGCAGGAAAGTAAAAAAATCGCCTCGTGGCTCGCTATGGCCCAGGCTAGTCTATACACGCGATGCCGCGCGGGTCCTGATGCCCGAGGCTTGTGCGCTGCATGGTATTCTTGTGGCCATCGGCCCACACTAGATACCCAGGACCAGTTATATCGCCCACACTCCCATAGTCCAAGCAAGCTGCGTGTCCTCTTTGTATGCATGCGTGAGTTACATAGTAGGTAGGTACCGTAGTGACACGCATATAAGCGCATGTGCCTACACCCGGGCATAAGCGCATGTGCCTACACCCGGCCATATGCGCATGTGCCTATAGCCGGGCATAAGCGCACCCTCACAAATAAGCGCATGGGCTTATCAGTGAACCTAAATGCAATTCCATCCGCGACACACAGACACCACAACAGCGCATGTGCGTTCACATAGTGCAATGCGCAGTGCGATAGTGCACTATGTGCATAATTATGCAAGGTATCGGTACGCTAGCAACTCGAGCGCATGCGCCTATGTGGGAGAGAAAACGACCCACAAAAAATAGCAAATAACGCAAAAACTCACTCATACGCGCATGTGCCTTTATGTGCGTCACTACGGTAGGTACCCAGCCCTGTGAAAACATTAGAGGCATGCCCAGATCTCCAGTAATGGGCCTAGACCTAGGCTGAAAAAGAGAGTAGATACGTTGTGTTTCGTCAATGAGCTGCTTACCGTATTATCTCTAATATAAGCACAGTCTCCAATAATAGCACGTCTCCAATAATAGAACACCTTGCGGTATTCAAAAAATAAAGTGCTCAGTCTCCATTATAAGCACACTGTGTAAATTCATTATCTGTACTGGCGAAAAACCCCTGAAATGTGTGTGTCTGACATGAATTTGGCATGGCAACAAGCCTCTGAAATGAGGTTGAAATAATAAAGGAACTGTCTCCAATAATAGCACGGGGCGGAGGTACATCGAAAAAATAAAGGACCGTGCTTATATTAGAGATAATACGGTAGTCTAGTCTCTTGTTTACATTCTTGTTTACAAATAAATCAATCAGGTAGAGACAGACATAGAGTGAGTGAGTGTGAGAGAGAGAGAGAGAGAGAGAGAGAGAGAGAGAGAGAGAGAGAGAGAGAGAGAGAGAGAGAGAGAGAGAGAGAGAGAGAGAGAGAGAGAGAGAGAGATGTAAAGTTCGCTCCTTGAACTTATTACGCGCACGCACACACCAAACCTGCGAGAGCAGTCGACTTGGACTTACTTCGTTGGAAACCAGACCATAGCCACTGACATCCACGCGCAGCAGAATTGGCTTAGATATTGTTCTAACTTACTCTTTCATGCTTGTGGCACACAACAAGCTTCACGCGGAGTAATAAGTTTATAGCCTTGTCACACGACGGTTCGTGCTCACGATTGCACGATACCATGGTTCTACGATCCACGGCAAGACACTTCACACGACGACTAGCTCTGCCGACACGGCGCACGCGAGTCGGTCACGATTTGACTGTTGCCTAGGTAATTGTAATGGAGGCACGTGTTTTGATGGAAATAAATCAAAATATTTTTTTATTTTCATGCCTCCCGGGAAAATTCAAACTCTCTTTGCCTGATGTTGGAGTAGAACAAGACTGAAAAGACAACTTTGTTGCTTTGGCGTTCTTGACTGGATTTCTGGGACCATGGATTTGACAAATCCGCGTAGCTTTGCTCTATTTTTGCTGTTTGTTTTCCGTGGCCTTGGGCAACTGGGTCCGGACAGGGCAATCGGCTCACAACCTACAGGGTTTGGAGTGCCTCGTTCGTTTTCCCAAATCCCTTTTGGCCGTTCAGCCGTTTTGTTGCTTTGTCTTCTTTCGCTGCTCGCGTCATCATCATTTTATCAGTCGATTCAAGTAGGGAGCAGTAGATTTCGATAAGCATCCTTTCGGATTCTGGGCTGAATGTCCGGGTGGCCATTGTTCAGAAAGTCGGACCTATGCTGCTGTTCAGGAAACGCTCAGTGAGAAGACGCGATCGCGAACACAAGCCAAACCAGTACAGGAAACACGAAATCGAAAACGAAAACGCACAGCCAGGGGGTCAGGGTGTCGCGGGCAGACCGTCGGGTCTACGGATTCAGATTTCCCGCCATTGATGATCGCCTTGGTGATCCGCGCGCGAGCCCGAACAGACGTGACTTTGTCCCGTCGTGTGAAAGACCTATAAGAAGTTATCTTGACGAAGGTTAGAGCAAGAATGAGCTGAGCATGTCAAAGGCAGCACTGTAAGGGCGATCAGCCATGATGGAAAATACCGTAGACATGCGCGATGCAGTCAACAAGGTAGTACGCAGCGAGAGCAATGTGCAGCTACTGTGAAATCATAACGAAGTGATTGCAGTCTGCAATAGACATGCCGTAGAAAGCTAGGCGCGGAGACTGGCTAGCGAGCTGCTTGAGGCGTTGGGAAGCTTCTTCTTGGTGAGCCTCCCAGCACAAGACTGTGTCTGCGCAGAGGAGCAATCGGAGTGGCTTGGAGGCCGTGGCCATTTCTGGCAGAAACTTGCTGAGATAGTTGAACACACCGAGCACACGACATAGTGCAGGTAGATCCATCGGTGCGTGGAGCTCGGAGACAGCGGCGACACGCTGCTGACTCGGGCTTACTCCATCAGCGGAGACATAATGGCTCTAGAACTGAACTGACGGTTGGCGGACCTGTTCCTTGTCAGGGCTAAAAGCGACACCAAAATTGCAGAGGATTGATCTGACCTTCTCTAGGGTAGCATCGTGTCCTTCGACCATCGCACCAAATACCAATATATCATCCATGAAGGCGCACACCCCCTTAAGTGCCATCCAGGTACTGAATCAACTTGCGCTAGAGTATTTCTGGCGCTGAGGTGATACCAAATGGAAGCCGACGGAAGTAGTAGCGCCCGAACGTATGATGAATGTCGTTAGCTTGGCTGTTTCAGCATCAAGAGGCAACTGCCAGAAACCTCTAGCTGCATCCAGGGTGGTGAAGCATGTAGCGCCACTCAGTTTCGCCAGTGTTTCGTGGACAGTGGGTAGGATGACTGTTTCACGCTTGACAGAAGCATTCAGACACCAGAGACCTACGCATATCCGGACGTCGCCGTTCTTCTTGGCAACAGGTACCATAGGTACACACCAGTCCATAGGCTATGTGATCTTTGTAATCACATCGGAAACTTCCATGCGGGCAAGCTCGGCTTTTGACTTTTTTGCTAGGATTAGAATCGGAACGCGACGACCTGTTGAGCACTGGTGCGGAACGGCATCAGGCCTCAGAGCGATCTTGATGGGCTCACCCGGCATGCGTCCAAACGGGGAGCTGCTTCACGTCTGATAGTGCAGGAAGTCTGGTGCTGTAGTGTTCACGTGTTCCTACGCGCTGTGGCATTCCTTGGCCACTCCAGACATTCATGATGCATGTAGTAGTAGTAGTAGTACATCGTGATGTTATGCATGTAGCATGTGCCGTTTCCCGCGCGCGCGTGAAACGGACTTCGCGGCTTTTAGTTGCTGTGCATGGTTTGACTCGGGACTCTTGTTGTTTTGGACTGAAGAAGAAACAATACTACAGGTGCAGAGCGTGGAGATGGGGTAACACACAGTGACACACTCCGTGCGTTGGTTGTGGCATGTGTGTGCTCAACACGACTAACATACCTTAGCTCCACATAATGCTACACTAAAAGTACAGTAGATAGAGAACAGAGCATTTATAACGGGGGGGGGGGGGGGATAATTCTAAACTTAAAGGTGGGAACCGCACTTTTAGCAAGAGACGCGTCAAGTGGAATACGGGCAAAAAGAAAAAGGATCAAGAACAATGCAGCAGAGATGTGGTAGAATAGTGTGAAGATGAGTAGCTAGAAACAACAACTGTAATCAACCCCGAGAACATAGAAGGAATGACAAGGTGCAGGCGTAAAGAAACCTAACAAGCATGCAACTAAGTGTGACAACAATAGACAAACAGTGGACATAGCTAACGAGTTGTTATCGACCTACCTAACAGCCTAAGTGTGAAATTAATTTTGTTGTTTGCATAGGTTAGGTTTCTTCTCACCGCCTGTCCTACTTAGGTCATTGTTCTTTTGCTCTTGCTTTTTGCCTATATTCCACCTGATGGGAAGGCATGAAAGTATACTTGTGGAAAACTTTCAACACTTTTGCTCTAGAGAAGCCCGTAGTTTGTCCTCTTCCTACGTGTGATTGCATTCTTGTCTCCATGAGAGTCTTTAAATACTGTAGCCAAATTGTTTGTCTAACATTCGTTACGGTACTGCAACTTGGTAATGTGGTAAGGGTGTTTTCTATAGGCCTGCACTGTGCATTGCTGACTTAGTGTGCGTGCCTGTGTGTCTGTGTTGATGGTTCTGCAGTGAGATTGCGCCGTCACCTGCCCGACCATCCGGTCATCGTGGCAGCAGCACGCGTGACGGCGGCCGTGCAAGACCGGCCCGTTGTTCACGCCGCCGCTACCGCCGCCGCTCCGTCATCATCGGACAGGATGGTGCGGCGCGTGGTCGGCTCCGTGGCACCGCCGCCCGCTGCACTGCCCCTCGTCGTCCACACCAGTCCCGTGGTGTCCAGTGCCTTGTCCAGCCTTGGTCCAGTTCACGCCCATGCCGCAGCCACGCCCATCCAAGGAGGCTCGAGGAAACACCGGTCAACTCCGGCTGCCGTTCCGCCGCCTTCAAAGCGCGTGTCCACTTCAAGGACGACAACAGCCGTTAGTAGCAGCAAGCCCACCACTTCCCTGGCTGCCAGAGACACGACAACACTTGCGCCCAGTGGTGCGGTGCAAACTACCCGGAAGGTGAGTACTTTGCGTACGTTCTTCTCCTCTTGTTGAGCCACTTTGTGACAGTGTGTGAGTGTGTGTGTGCCTTTTCATGTGTCTAAAGTACTCGTAGAATATATTGTAGAATATATTGTATACATCTGAAGAGGCAAGTCACATGTGGTTAGACCTAATTCTATTCATCGATTGCAGGTTGTTCACTGTAGGAGGCGTATCTGTGTTGTTGGTCATGCTCGTATGCTGCGTTCTTTTCTGTCGTTGTACAGGTATGCAAGGTATCTGGTCCAACACGTACCATAGCCGCTTCGTCTTGGCGCAGCGGTCAAGCCGTAGTCAATCGTGTTCTAGGTCCGAGCAGACTTCCTGCCGCGAGCACCGTCACTGGGTCTGCGGGCACGGAGCAGAAGAAGAAGGCCGCCGGCCGAGTCACCAAGAACATCGGCGTCGTTCCAGCACCGCACCGTGCTGCTGCCGTCGCTGCTGCCGCCGCTGGCACTACTCCACCTGTGTCAGCTAGTGCCAGGCCATTACCAACGGCCGGTAAGGTAGCTAGATCTACTGCATCCGGCGCCGCTGCTGCTGCTTCTAGCAAGGACACGGCGCAGGCAGCTGCAGATCACCTCTCCTCGTCCAGCAGCAGTTCTGTAGCAGATAGTATGGGTGGCTTCACAGCACCTAACGCTGCAGCACAGTCAATCCTGGATGACTTACAACTGGACAAGAAAGGTACATGTACACTCGCAATGAGACTACTGACAGTGTGATGTGCTAATGTACATGTAATTCAAAGTGAGTGCTGTGAGCACCATGGTGGGGGCTTGGCATGCTAACCTGGTCTTCTCTTGAGTTTCAGTTTGCAGCCATGTAAAAATTTCGTGGATGACCCTGATCTGTGTGTTTTGGTTTTTTTGTTGCCAGACGGTGCAAAGGACTCGGAGGATGACGTTAGTGACGATGACGATACGAAACCATCTCACAACGGCCTACCTTTGGTTCCGGTTACCACCGTTGCCATGCCAACCCCTGTTCTGCAGGCCACGGCTGTCCAGCGTCGCCATGTCAACCATCAGCGTGCAACCCCAGCTCACAAGTATGACTACACTCCCAAGTATCCGGAGAAAAAGGTATGTACACAACGATGCATTTGTGAAAATGACTTACTTTTTTTTGCTTCGTCCTTCTGCTCTGACAGTGAGGAATGCAGCAATGATCGTGAGAATGCGTTCTGAAGCCATAAAATGAACGACGTCGGAGCAAAAACAAAACAGCTGAAATCGAAAGACGAACAGAAAGTCCGAGGCCATCGGTGATCTTCCAGACTGTTATTTGTACACCGACCTGCAGACACGTAGATTTTGCATGCTCTACACTTCACATGCAAGAAGTCTCACGCACAGACATGAGGTGAGCCCCTGCTGGGTTGCCCCGTGCTCGAACCCAGACAATCTGTACGTGGTCGGTCTATTCCACACACCTGCTGCGTTGTGGCTACAGGGATGTAGCTACGGCACGTGATTTCTACTCTGCATTGGATGATTTCTACTCTGCATTGGATGATTTCTACTCTGCATTGGATGATTTCTACTCTGCATTGGATGATTTCTACTCTGCATTGGATGATTTCTACTCTGCATTGGATGATTTCTACTCTGACAGTCATTTCGTTCCAATCCAGGATCTTTAGAACTCTTTCATGATGTATTATGAATATGGACATTGTAGACAGGTTGTGTGTGTGTGTGTGTGTGTGTGTGTGTGTATATGTGTGTGTGTGTGTGTGTGTGTGTGTGTGTGTGTGTGTGTGTGTGTGTGTGTGTGTGTGTATATGTGTGTGTGTGCGTGCATGCGTGCTGCATGCATTTCAGGAAAGGCATTACGATGTGGATGAGGTGCGTGCGTACATCAACCGCCAGGCGCAGCTACGCAAGCAGCAAGCCCAACAAGAACAGGAGGTGAGACGCTGTGTGTGCTTGCGTGCGTGAGTACGTGTGAGTGTTTGTGTGTGTGTGTGTGTGTGTGTGTGTGTGTGTGTGTTATAATGTGAATGGGAATGTGCATGCATGTGGCTGGCTGGTATGCCTATTACCAGAAGTTCATAGCTCTCAAGAGTGTTCAACCCCTGATGCCCTTTCTATGGGGTCGGCCGACAGCGAAAGCTCACATGTATGTTCCCTACTTGTTTTCAGCGAGTAGCAGAGTAATAAAAAATATCACTCCCTTGCAGAAACCCACTCGGCCCGATGCGAGTCGCCACTCCTCAGCCTGATCATGGCAGATTTTCGGATTGCACGCACACTGGCCTTCGCTCTACGTCAAACGAAACGTACCTGACACATGTGTTACATACCAACATACACCATGTATGTACA